CTTTAATCCCAGCACTCGGGAGGCAGAGGCTGGTGGATCTCTGTGAGTTAAAGGCCAGCCTTGTTTACAATGTGAGTTCCCGGGCAGCTGGGGCTACAGGGAAACTCTATCTCAAAAAGACCAAAAAGAAAAAAAAAAAAAAAAAAAAAAAGTAATTGTTTGAATGGCCAAACTAGGAAGGTCCTTTTTAAACTGAGGAACTTGCCTCTGCTGTTTGGAATCACATTTTCTTTTTTTTTTCTTTTCTTTTTTTTGGTCTTTTTGAGACAGGGTCTCTCTGTAGCCCCAGCTGGCCTGGAACTCATTTTGTAGACCAGGCTGGCGTTGAACTCATAGTGATCTGCCTGCCTCTGCAGGGACTAAAGGTGTGCGCCACCACACCTGGCTGAGGCTGATTATCTTTTATAAAGTAGGAGTGAAGTATGTGATATTTATTAAAAGACTTTCCGGTCAGGGCTGTGGAGATGGCTCATTGGTAAAGTGCTTGCTGTGAAAGCATTAGAACCTCAGTTTGGATTCCTAGTTCCCATGTAAAAAGCTTGGATCAGGAGTGCACACTGTTAATTCCAGTGTAGTCCCAGTGTTGAGGAAGCATAGATGGACAGATTCCTGGAGTTCACTGGCCAGCCAGTCTTGCCAAATGAGTGTGTTCCAGGTTTATTGAAAGAACTTGTCTCAAAAAATAAGGCAGAAGGAGCCAGGCATGGTGACATATACCTTTAATCCCAGCACTCAAAAAGACAAAATAAAATAATAATAATAATAATGATAATGCAGAAAAAAACTGAGGAAGACACTGATGCCCACCTCTGGCTCCACATATGTAAGCACATTTGTGCATATGCCCCCTTCCATGCATGCACACACATCCTGCCATCAAGCTTGATGACGAGTTTGGTAGAAAACAGACCCCTGGCTGGGCATGGTGGTGCACACCTTTAGTCCCAGCACTCTGGAGGCAGAGGCAGGCAGATCTCTGTGAGTTCAAGGCCAGCCTGGTCTACGTAGTTGAGTTCCAGGACAGCTGGGGTTACAGGGAGACCCTGTCTCAAAAAGACCAAAAAAAGAAAAACAGACCCCTGAATGTTGTCTTCTGATCGCCACACATGCCCCCAATAAATAAATGCTATTTAAATTTTTTATTATTTTTATTTTATGTGTATGCATGTATTGCCTGCATGTAGGTAAATGCACCTGTGTGATGCAATGCCTGCAGAGGTCAGAAGAGGTTGTTGGATCTCCAGGGACTGGAGTTACAGTTATTAGCTGCCATGTGGGTGCTGGGATTTGAACCTTGGGTCTTCTGCAAGAACCACCAGTGTTCTTAACAGCTGAGCCATCTCTCCAGCCCTATTTAAAATTTTTTTTAAAGAAAAATAAAATTCCGTAATTTGCAACAAATGACAAATGTGGAATTCACTGTTAGGTACAGAAAGATGTGGAATCTAAGAAAGTTGAACTCGAAGAATGACTGTTTACCAGTGTTTCAGGGACCAGGCAGACAAGGGACTTGGGAGAGATATTGACCAACATATATACAATTTGTTAGAATAAGTTTAAGAGATTTATTGTATAACATTGTCAATAATATATTCTCAAAGGTCACCAAGAGCTGGGTGTGATAGCTCACACTTTTAACCCCAGCATTCTGGAGGCAGAAGAGGGAAGATCTCTGAGTTTGAGACCGTCCTGGTCTACATGATTTCCAGCCCAGCCCAGCTGTTTCTGTCTCAAAAACAAATGAAAAACCCACTAAGATTTTAATTGTTCTTTCCATAAAAAAATAAGTGAGGCAATGCATATGTAGCTAGTGCATTCACAATGTATGCACAAGTTAAAAACATCATGTACATTTGTATGTATTTAAAAATGCTAGACTAAGAACCACTGCCAAAAAATATTCTGCCTTTGGAATTTCTACCTTCAAAGTAACATGCATACTTGGGAGATTAAAGCTTCTGAATTTTTCGGTGTGGTAGATGTTTGTAGCTCTACTTGGCAAGAGTTCAAGTTAAGAGTCTTTGATCTACTGGAATGTCAAACACATGTGAGCTCTTGGTACTTTCAAATTCTACCAGATGTGGCCACAGTGTTCACAGTGAGTCCATGAACTCACAACCTACAATAAAGTTCTCTTGCCTTCTATTGTACAGGATGGATTTCCAGGTCTTTATTTTGGTTTTGTCTATTTCCCTTCAAGAAATGGTCTAGATGTTGGACTCTTGTCCTAAGAAACAGCATTGTTATGCCATTAAAATAAATATAGCACTTTGAGAAAGCCGAGTAGAAACTGTGATTAGGGAAGAAGCATATGGCTTTAAAATTTTTTCTTGGTATCATTATAGCCCAGTCTGGTCTTGAACTTGCTATGTAGTGGAGGATGACCTTGTTGAGTTCCTGATCTTCCCGCTTCAACCTCCCAAGTGATGGGATTATAGGCATGTACCACCACACTAGGGTGAAAAAATTTTTTCCTTCCAATTAATTTTCGAAAAACCCCATTCTAATGAACTGTGTTTGAGTAGAGGCACACGTGTGCTATTATTAGCATGTGTACGGAGGTCAGGGGACAGCTGTGTCGGTCCTCATCATCCGCCTTGTCAGGGTCTCTTGTTACTCCTCTACTGGGTTAGTTGGCCCATGAGCTTCCAGGAATTGTTTTTGCTTCCCATCTTGCATAGGAATGCTGGATTAGATGACCAACAGTGTCCAGCTTTACATGGGTTCTGAGGATCTGAACTCAGGTCCTCACACTTATATAGTGAGCACTTTACCTCGAGCCACCTCTCCACTCCTACTCTATGTATTTTTAATACTTTTACATTTGTTAAGGCTGTCTTGTGAGGTGGGGGCAGGGCCATGAGTTAAGAGGCCAGTCTAGGGTATAGAGTAAATGGGGCTCAGCAGTTAAGAGCGTGCACTGTTCTTGCAGATGACCTTTCCAGCAGCCACATGGTGGCTAACAACAAAATCCAGAACTCCAGTTTTAGGGGATCCAACACCATCTTCTGGCCTCTTCAGGCACTGCACACATCGGTGCACTTACATACATGCAGGCAAAACACTCTTACACATTAAAAAAACAAAAAGAAAAATACTAGGCCAGGCATGGTAGTGTACACCTTTAATCTTCAGCACTTAGGTAGAGGTGAGCAGACCTCTACATAGTTCTAGGTCAACCACGGACACATAATGAGATCCTGACTTAAAAAAACAAAACAAAACAAACAAACAAAAAACAGTTGAGACATCTCTCCAGCCCATACACAATTTTCTTCTTTATTTTTTTGGTCTTTTATGAGACAGGGTCTCCCTGTAGCCACAACTGACCTGGATTTGCTATGGAGACCAGTCTGGGCTCAAACTCATAGAGATTTGCCTGCCTCTGCCTCCCAAGTCCTAGGACTAAAGGTGTGTACCACCATGCCTTGGTTTTCTTTTCCTCTTTTTCAAAGTACTTTTCAAATATATTGGCAGGCTGGATGGCCCATGCTTTTAATCCCAGCACTCCTGAGGCAGAGGCAGGCAGATCAAGGCCAGCCTGGTCTATATAGCGAGTTTTAGGCCAGCTGGGGCTACAGGGAAACTCTGTCTCAAAATATTTTAACTTTTTTAAAAAAAATATTTAATTTTTTAATTTTATGTGTATGAGTGTATTGCCTGCATGTATGTGAGTGCACCTGTGTCATGCAATGCTGCGGAGGTCAGAAGAGGGCTTTGGATTCCCCTAGAACTGGAGTTAAGGATGGTTCATAGCCACCATGTGGGTGCTGGGAATCAAACCTGGGTCCTCTGCAAGAGCAGTCAGTGCTCTTAAATGCTGAGCCATCTCTCCAGCCCCCAAATATTTTAACTTTCTAATGAGAGAACAAATTTATATAATTGCTTTACCTTCAAAGCTTAGCATGGGTTTCTATGTCCTGCTAGGTGTGGTGACTTATGCTTGGGAGGCTGAGGGAGGAGGATTGCTGTGAATTCAAGATCAGCTTGGGTCACAGAGTAAGTTCCAGGTTAGCCTTGGCTGAACAGTGAGACGGTTCAGTGGATAAGGGCACTTGTCATTAAGCCTAATGACTTGAATTCAATCCCTGGAACCCACGTAAAGGTGGAAGGAGAGAACCAACTCCCTAATGTTCTTCACCCTCCATATGCTCACACACATACACATAAAATAACATGGCAACTCCCCAACTTTCTCTGCTTCTCATATTTTTGAATATGTTATTTAGATAATATTAAGGGTCCTGGGGGGGGGGGCTGGAGAGAGTGATGGCTCAGTGGTTCAGAGCACTGGCTGCTCTTGTAGAGGACAAGGGTTTGGTTTCTAGCACTGACATGACGGCTGATGCCCTCTTCTGAATTCTGTGGTCACTGCATGACATGGGTGCACTCGCATGCAGGCAATACACTCATACACATAAAATACAAATAGTAAATTCCAGGTCTTATGCATCTTTCAGCATACATTCTGACAATACCTGGTAAGTAATGTGAGAACAAGAGGGTTGCCCTTATAAAATACCAATAAAAAAGGAAGAGAGAGGAGTCTGGGATGTGGCTCAATGTTAACTGCTTGTCTAGTATATATGGGGTCCAAGTTTGGTCCCCAGTGTATGAAAGAAGAAAAACAATGACAAAAAAAAAACAGCAGACCATGACTGTATGCCACCCATTTATTTATAATGAGAAACGTCCCCCACAGTGTGATAGAGCACTATCAGATAAGAAGGGATCTGACCACTAGGTGTGGCTGGTAGTGCACAGAGGGAGGTGGATGAGTTCCAGGCCTGGGGAACCCCCACAGGCCCCACATAGTTCCAGGCCTGTCTCAAAGAACAAAAAGAATGGACCTGATCACCCCCCACACACATTCTATTTTCTCTTCTGTTTGACCTTTTATGCTGTCCACAAAAATAAGTGTCTTTCTTATTACCCTGAAGGTACCTGAGTATTTTTTTTAAATTATTTTTTAAAGTCTGAGCTTTAATCTCATCTGAAAAATGGAGAGAATACTAAAAAATCTTACAGGATAAATTTATTTAATGCAAAGCATTTCACACAGTTATTAGGTACAAACGCTATGACCTTTTACATTAGGGCGGGCACATCACATAGTAGGGTGCATTAGCTTCTTTCCTATCTGTCATCTTTTGCAGTTGTAATAAAGCACTGTTTTTTGTTTGTTCGTTTTTCCCCCCATTGAGACAGGGTCTCACTGCATAATCCAGGGTGGCCTTAAACTTGTGGTCTTTCCCCTTGCCTCAGCATCCTGCATACAGATTACAGGCCTGCACCACCAGCACCACTTAAATCCAGCACTTTTAGAAATATGATTTATTTGGATTTAGGCAGTGGCATGTGCCTGTAATCCCAGTATATAGGAGGCTGATTGCCACAAGTTTGAGGATGGCCTGGGCTACATAGGGAGCTTGAGGACCTGTCTCAAAAATTTCCCAAATGCTTCCTGATTGGGTAGATATGTCTCAAACTTTCATCCTTTCTCTTAATGAAAGTATGTGCAAGAATACTATTCTTACTGGTAAAGAGAGGTATTTTATACTCAGAGACAAGAAAACACTGATTTCTCTATATATCATATACAGAAGTCTTATTTTGATTTGCAAAAACCTCAGAAATTCAGAATACTTGAAAAAATGCATCATTTTATTTGTACAATTAAAAAGTTGTACATAGAAACTTATAGTTTTTAAAACTGAGAGAATGGTAGAGAAAAGAGGGTTACATTTTTCATTTTCTTTTTTAATCATTAAGAATGTTTGGAAAATAAAACAAAAACACAGTAAAATTTAAAAAAAATTAAGGAATATTTTCCAAGTATAAATTTTATAAATATAAAACAAATTCACAAATTACTTTGAATGCTAAATAAATATCTAGTTCATAAACTCAGCCAGTACTGGTTACAGCACTTTAAGGGTATAAAATTGGATTCATTCATGTGTAGTGTTGAAACAATGTGCTCATTTATCAATTCTTAAGACATATACACATTTCTCTCAACTGTAGAAGACTCATCTGTGTAGATAAACCCTCAATACCATATTTCTAAAAAAATCAATGATAAAATAAAAGATGAAAAAATATTTTCCAAGATATCTGAACACATGAATGATCTCAAAATGTACAAAAACCTCTGTAAACCAGTACTGTATCCAATATATCTATCAAACTTATCAGATACCGAACAAAAACTGTAGCAAAGGAAATCTTTCCTACATTCTCCTGAGTGCTTGATATTAACATCGAGAATACAGTGCAGCCATGCTTCCATGTGGTTGACCAGTTGTTATTGCTTTATATCTACATGTCTGCTGTAAAGCATGATTGAATATTCCATTTCCATGAGCATGCTGTCTTCACGTGCATCCTTTAGAAGGACAAGATTAGATTCGTGACTTCTTTGCAGCTAGCGGTGTGCTAACCTGGTCCACATGACTGGGTGACACATGGAGTCCAAGCTTTTGAGCCTGAATATGAAAAAATGCTTGAAGCCTAGTTCCAGCTTTTGCTTCACTTGTGTTACGAGGGTTGTACTCAAAGCAGTTCGAAAACATTAACTCAATGTCATCAATAAACTCAGCTAGACAGAGAGAAAAATATAATAAAAGTACACTCATGAGAAGCACAAATTTTACTTGTACATCTGAAAACTTACAGAGAAAATGGAAGCCCAAAGAGGAGATTCTACAATGAGGCGGCAGAACTGGGCTTAGACATTTTCAATTACAGATCTTTTAAAATTGTTTCAGTGAAACTATAAGATGTGTTTTTACAAAAATTTCTGAGGCAGGAGATATAATTCAGTGGTACGGTACTTGCATGCATGAGGCCCTAGGTTCAATCTCCAGCACCATGCATGCACGTACACACACACACACACACACACACACACACACACACACACACACTCACACACACACACAAACACAGAAACAGAAAAAAACCCAGTTCTTTTAAAGCAAAACAAAAATATAATACAAAAGGAAGATATAGGCTACTTACATGCTAATTTATATTCACATTTATTCACTTTTTCTCGAATTATATTTAAGGCAATGGGCTTCTTAATAATGTCATAGTAGTCTGGGACCTGTAAAATTCAATATATTTCACAGTACAAAAAGGTTTATTGGAAATATGTGGTTAAATATAATTTATTCCTGGAAAACAACTTACCTCTTAGTATTTTTTGGTGAAAAGAGCCAGATGGCTCAGCTGATAAAGGCACTTGCTGCCAAGCCTGACAACCCGAGTTTGATCTCCAGAACCCACAGGGTGGAAAGAGAGAATCAACTCCCTCAAGCTGTTCTCTGACCCTCACATGCACACTATGGCATGGTACCCACACATTAAAAAGAAAATTTCCCTAAGTGTTAACCTTTACCGGTTGTTAGTCAATATTATTTAACCCTTCAAATTCTTGCTCTAGAAATCTCCAAGTAGAAACCTGATGACTTTAAAAAAATTTGTGTGTGTTGCTGGGCGTGGTGGGAGGCAGAGGCAGGCGGATCTTTTGTGAGTTTGAGGTCAGCCAGGTCTACATAGGGAGTTCCAGGCCAGCTGGGGTTACAGGGAGACCCTGTCTCAAAAAGACAACAAAAAAAATCTGTGTGTATGTGTCTGTGTAAGTGCATGCACACTGTGTATAAATGTGTACATGCGTACACCAAGTCCTGTTCTGCCCATTCCTTTGGAAGAGTCTCTTACTGAACCTGGGCTCCTGTTTTTTTAGCTAGGCTGGAAGTCGGCAATCTCCAGTGATTCTCATCTCCTCCCATCTTGGAGCTGGGATTACAGGTATGTGTGGGACACCCACCTTCGTTAAAAGGCTACTGTGATCTGAACTCTGCTCCTCATATTGCATGGCAAATGATGTTTGTTAAGGTTCAGATAGCCCCGCCCCCTCACCAACAGGGTCTCATGGACTTCTCAAGCTCCTGAGAAAAGGGACCTGAGTTGATAAGCACCTTTGTCTTTGAAGTCAAGAGAAGCAGACTTTTCTCCACTGGCCAACACAGCAGGCTTCCCCTGAAAAATACATCTTCCTGCAAAAGGCAGGAAGCAGAAGCCTCCCCCTTTAAAAGACCCCAGCTCACGACCCAGGCAGACATTTTCCCTGCCCAGAAGGGAATCTGTCCCATGTCTTCCTTTGCTAATAAACTCTGCTTTCTCCTGATCAACCCTACTCGTCACACGGCTACTTTTTACCTGTCAATGTTAACTACGGAGCTACTTCTGCCTCTCTCACTTTTTTCTTCAGAAATCTTTGCAATACAGTAACAGGTGCAGTCTTTTTAAAATGTGCCTGAGCCTCTACTTCTTTCAAATTTTCTATTTCTCGCACCCTCATTTCTGGGTGCTTAATCTAAAGTCTAGTCCCTTCTCCTAAAATGTAGTTAGCACACCCCTCCTCTAATTTCTCTTTTTGAGGCTAGCCTCTACTCACAATCCTCCTACCTTAAGCTCCCCTGGCTCTTTTTTTTCTTTTTAAATAAATATTCACTGTGTACTTTCATTATACATGTACTGTGTTACATAAGGACATTTTTATAAATGTATATACTGTACACTGAGAACATTCCATGTCTTACCGCTGAAATCACACCATTTTCAATGACCAATCCTAACAGTTCTTCCATAAAAACTCTAATTCTTGCTATTCTCTCCCCTGGAAATGCTCAATCAATATGCTTTTCTTTTCTACTCCTATAATGCTATTATAGCTTCTATTACATAATCTAGTTCTGTTATGTGGCATGTCACATTCTGCTCATACTGTGTAAATACAGCACCATCTCATATCCCTGAGTTAGGCTGACCATCACTGCTGTGTGAAAGCACCTTTTCATGAGTTGCACCTCTAAATGTGGTCTCTGAACCAGAACCATAGCTTCACCTGGGGACTTGTCAGAAATGCAAATCAATAGTTAGGCATCCATCCAGTCCTACTAAGTGAAAAAGTCTGGGTTGGGACTCAGGTATGTTTTAACAAGCCCTAGAGATGATTCTGAGGCATGCTGTAGATTGAGAACCACGACATATAAGAGCAGTATCAATACTGATATTTAGTTCAATCCATTCTATGATTTTTTAATTACACAGAACAAAAACATTGAGGCTATTTCAAGATACTGCCATCATCTATAAAGAATCAGTCACAGAATCCTAGGGCTCCCAGGCATGAGGATCAGGAGTTTTAGGTCATCTTTGGCTAGATAGAAAGTTTTAGGCCAGCCTGGCTACATCAGACCCTGTCTCAAAACACAAACAAAACAATCAGCCACAAGATTAGACAGAACTAGAGAGACAATGCTATCTAGCTTCATTTTTCAATATAGGAACCAACCTTCCAAGTGTGTGCTTTAATTTTTTTTTTGGTCTTTTTGAGACAGCATCTCCCTGTAGCCACAGATGGCCTATAACTTGCTATGTAGACCAGACTGGCCTTAAACTCACAGTGATCCACTTGCCTCTGCCTTCCAAAGTGCTGGGATTAAAGGTGTGTGCCACCACACATGCAGTTTTTTTTGTTGTTGTTGTTTGTATTTTAAAAAGCAACTGGCACAGGTATTTTGACAATTTCAAAGTTGTCGTAAGGGCATCATGTAATATAAATGTAAATCAGGTAATATATGAACATGTTTTATAAAGTCTAGTTATATTATTACCTGGATTTTAGAAACAAGTTTCAAAAAGGGCCAGCTATCATCGTGCCGTACCAGTTCCACAACAAGTTGTTCAAAAGCAGACAATTCATGAACCCCTCCTTGTCGGCCAGAACTTCTTCGATTCAGTGGCACAGGAGATGACTCTGAGTAAATAAGATAGATTATTTTAGGCAGTATCTAAGAAAAATACCAACCATAAGCTGATCACACAAATATAAACCAAATTCTAACAGAAAATAGATACTCTACACTGAGATGTTCATTAACTAAATTCCATTTTCGTGTGTGTAGTGCAAATGTATGTGTATATGTTTGCATTTGTTTGTGCAGATGAATGTGAACTTGTGTGTTTGCACACGCACACACACAAAATGGAAGCCCAATGTTGATATGAATCATTCTTGATTGTTCTTCCACTTTATTCATTGAGGCAGGGTCTCTCAGTCAGACCCAGAGGCTGCTGATATGGCTGCTCTCGTTAACCAGTTTGCTCCTGGGATCCCTTGTCTTGGCTTTCTGAGGCCTGAATTACGGGTGGGACCAGCCATGCCAACCTATCATTTACATGGGTTCTAGGGATCTATATGAACTTGGGTCCTCATGCCTGAGGGAGTGTGTGGCAAGCACCTCAATCACTGAGACATCTCTGTAGCCCAAGTAACTTATTTTCTGAGAGAGAAATTTGGGCCAAATACCCTTCATTTCCTTTTCCATCTTAAAAATATGCAATTAAATCAAATACTCATTGGAGACTAGAACATAAAAAAAGGAAAATGCAGAAGAAAAATCTACAACAGGAAGTTTTGGGGTTTTTTACCTGTAACAAAATGAAACTAGTAATTCTCTGGTAATTCTTAAAATGTGTCTTTAAGCAGGGTGTGCCCATGCACACCTTTAATCCCAGCAGGCAGAGGCAGGCAGATCTCTGTGAGATTGAGGCCAGCTTGGTCTACAAAACAAGTTCAGGCCAAAAAAGGTGTTTTTAAGAAAGCTTATCATCTGGGAGTGGCAGCCTTTAATCCCAGCACTGTGGAGACAGGCTGGAGGATCTCTGAATTTGAGGCCATCCAGGACTACATAGTGAGACCTTGCCTGAAAAATTTAAAAAATATTACTTAAATGGTCTAATGAACTCTAAGGTGCAACATAGTTCATATAGGAACTCAGGTATTTAAATTCCTTGTGTAGTAAATCCACACATTTCCCCCATTATTTGTCCAGGGTTAGTTTTTTACTTTAAAGGAAGTGTTTATGCTGGGCCGTTTAATTCTAGCAATAGGAGGCAGAGGCGGGTGGACCTTTGAGTTCTAGGCCAGCTGGGGCTACAGGAAGACCCTGTCTCAAAAAGACCAAAAAAGGTAAAGTTTTTATGTTAACTTATTTTTTTAATAACAAAATTTTATTCCTACTGATATGAACAAAAGATTTTTTTTGGAGACAGGGTCTCACTATGTAGCCCTGGTTGGCCTCAAACTCAGAGATTCACCTGCCTCTGCCTTCCAAATGCTCAGATTAAGGCATGTGTCACCACCATGTCCAGTTTAAGAGATATTTATATAGCTGCTGGTGGTGTAGACCTATAATCCCAGCATTTGGGAAACTCAGGAAAGATTGTGAGTTTGAAGCTTGCCTGGGCTACATAGTGTAACCCTGTCTGAACCAACCAAGCAAGTAAGCAACCGACAAACCTAATTGGGACTGGAGATGTAGCCAATCTTAGCATGAGAAGGGCCTTTGAACTTTACTGCCCTAAGAACAAAACAAATCAACAACCCCAAACTAAATGATTTTCTATAAAGATTACCATAAACAAAATTCTTAATTAAAAAAATAGACAGAGAAAATCCCACATACTACTGTCCCAGCCCTGCCACCTTCCCAATCTGATATTTCAGAGGAGAACCTGCCAAATAATGTCCAGTAGCATGTCTGGTGATGATTAATGTGTTCTGAGGGAGGAAAACATGGTAGTGAGAATGAAGTGCATTAGGTAAGCACTCTACCACTGAGATATATCCCCAGCTCTGAAATGTGCTGTTATACTTGAGTGTTCAAATACTGACTAAATATCTCCATTTATAATGGAATACTAAAGGCTGAGGAGACAGCTCATTTGGTGAAGTACTTATCCTCTTACATGTGGACCTCAGTTTGATCCTTGGCACCATGTAAAAGGCTGGACATAGTGTTTGAGATACCAGTGCTAGGGAGATCAGGATAGGCAGATACCTGGAGCTTCCTGGCCAGCCAGCCAGCCAGCCTAACCTAATCCATGAGCCCCAAGTCCTAGTGAGACACCCTGTCTCTAAAACAAAACCCACCCACTCACAAACACAAAATAAAAAAAATTCAAAAAGAGGGGCTGAAGAGATGGCTCAGCGGCAGTTAAGAGCACTGACTGCTCTTGCAGAGGTCCTGGGTTCGATTCCTAACACCCACATGGTGGCTAACAACCGTCTGTAACTCCAGTTCCATGGGATCTGACACCCTCTTCTGATTTCTGCAGGCATTGCATGACATGGGTGCACTTACATACATGCAAGCAATACACTCATACACACAAAAATAAAAATAACAAAATTAAACAAAAAATTTAAGCCGGGCATGGTGGTGCATGCCTCACCTTTAGTCCCAGCACTCGGGAGGCAGAGGCAGATGGATCTCTGTTCAAGGTCAGCTTGGTCTACACAGTGCGTTCTAGGCCAGCTGGGATAGGGAGACTCTGTCTCAGAAAGACCAATAAATAAGTAAATAAATAAATAAGAAATATTTGCAAATTTAGCATATTACTCTGCTATACTAGTAAAAACTAGTAATATACTTTACCTTTATTAATCAATAGCTCCCTTTTCAATACAGTATGTCTTAGATCAGATTGTTTCCTAGTAACTTTGTGTATCATAGTAACAGCTTTTAAAAGATCCGATTGATACCAGCCTGGTCTACATGGCAAGTTCCAGGTCAGCTGAGGCTACAGGGAGACACTATCTCAAAAAACAAAACAAAACAAAACATCCCAAGTATCTCCAGCGTTATTCAATTTTTTTAGGTAAGGGAGTATAAATTAGACTGCATACCTGTAGACTGTCTTTTCCTGCCTCTTTTCTTAGAGTCACTATCTTGGAGAGAAAGTCTTGAGGCAATATTTAAAGGTGTTGCCTGTCCACTTGACCTTGAGGCGATAACCCTAAAGTTAGAGTAGCTGGGACTGCTTTCTGGCGTATTATTAGCACTCTTCCTTACTCTGCGTTTTCTACGAGGACTAAGCAGTTCCACAAATACATCTGCTTGCAGTGTGCCCTGACTGTGCCGAGTGGAACGACTAGCAATTCTTAAAGATTTAATTTCTGTAGGAGGAGCAGATTTGATCTTTCTTAGGCTTCTGCTAGCACTTTTAGAAGAAGAAGCAGTAGTTTTGGGTGTGTTCTGCTGACTCCTTGAAGGGTATCTTCCAGGATCCTGTCGTCTTGCTTTAATTGGCAATCTGACTTGTGGTCTTCCTCGTTTTGGTGGGCTATAAAATAGTTAGAAAATACAGTTATTATACAGAACAGCGATGAACATGTGGTTTCTTCTTGGCTGGTGAGTTGTATATAAATTATTATTATTATTTTTTTTTTGTCTTTTTGAGATAGGGTCTCTCCCTGTGGCCCCAGCTGTCCTAGAACTCACTATGTAGACTAGGCTGGCCTTGAACTCACACAGATCCTCCTGCCTCTGCCTCCCGAGTACTGGGATTAAAGGCATGTGCCACCATGACTGGCATAAATTACTTTTGTATACAACTGAACCTTATTCTATAATCAGTTCCTTAAATTTAGAGCTAACATATTCTTGTGGAAATCTAAATTCTGCTCTCATGTATTTCTCTGAAATGAAAGGAAGACATTTAGTATTTTTCTAGATGATTAGGAAATCATCATGAAAATCAAGTCCTAAACTATAATAAATAAAATCTTCAGGCGAACCAATAAATAGACCTAGTCAATAATGTTTAACCTTGGTTCATGAAGACCAAGCCAAGAACCTCTTTGCCACCTTCTGATTCTAATTGAACACATAAAACTAGATTAAATCTTTCAGTAAGTCTCCTTTTACCCATCTCTCTACATACATTGAATTCAAGTTACCCTAGAATATTCACAAGAATTTTGCCTATTATTTATTTATCGATTGATCGACTGTGAATGAGTGCCTGCATGTATGGAAGTGCACCATATGCATGCAATGCCAACGGAGGCCAGAAGAAGCCGGATCTCCTGGAACTGGAATTATAGATGGGTGCTAGGAGTCAAACCCAGGTCCTCTGCAAGAGGAGTCAGTGTTCTTAACTGCTGAGCCACTTCTCTTTCTCTCTCCCTCTTTGCTCTCTCTGTGTTTTGCATGCAATGTATGTGTGCAGGTGCATGTGGAGACCAGAGGCTGACATTCAGTGTCTTCTGCTGTCACTCTCCACCTTGTTTGTTGAGACTCTCATTGAACCTGGAGTTGGATGACTAGGCTAGACTGGCTGGCCAGTGACCCCTGGGATCTGTCTGTCTCTCCTACCCTCCGTGCTGGGGTTAAATACTGCCACACATGGCTTTTTTGGAGGCTTGGAGCTCTGAACTCAGGTACTCATATTTGCATAGCAAGCAGTTCACCAACTAAGCCATCTCCCTAGGCCCTCAAATCCTTTTTATGTTAATACGATAGTGCCTTCAAAAGCTATCTGGTGGATGGCCTCTGCTAGCTGGTATTCTTAAAAAACACACTTGTTTAAAAAAGAAGGGGTGATTCTATCTTTAATTTATTCCCCTCTGTCGGTGGTCCTTTTGTACTTGACAGTTCTTGGTTGTTCTTGCTTCATATTTGGTTTTGTGATTTCATGAGAATGAGTACATATGTTTAAAGTGGAGGGTGTGCTGATGGTAAAGAATGCAATATGAGTTTCCTTTGTGGCTATCGCTAACCCTACAGACAGAAAACCTGTAGTGGATAGAAATGTCTAGCTTTAGCAGAGCGTGGTGATGCGTGCCTTTAATTCCAGCACTGGGGAGGCAGAGGCAGGTGGATCTTTGTGAGTTGGAGGCTAGTCTGGTCTACATAGGAATCTCCAGGCCAACTGGGGCTACAGGGAGACCATGACTCAAAAAGACGCCCCCCTCAAAAAAAGAGATGCCTACTTAGCTTTTTCTACCTACCTATTAGATATATCTGCTTAGTAGATATGAGTGCCCCATCATTTTAGCCCTGAAAGAAAGGGTCAAACTGGGTATGGTGGCTCATACCTGAAATCCCAGTACTTAGGAGGATTATTTTGAGTTTGAGGATAGCCTGAGCTATATAGTGAGACTCTTATCTCAAGGGGGAAAAAGAGGTAAAATAAAGGGAAACTACCACAGTGCTGCCACAGCAGGAAATGTCTAGGCTTCAAAGCTATTCACAAGGCCTGGGTGACACAGCTTGGTAAGTCTTAAAATAGTCATTACATGGCAGCATAGAAGGCACAGAAGTTAATTCTGGGTAGTATTTTGGAAAGAGTACTACTCAGGTCAGAAATCGCCCCTACCCCCCATTAATCCCAGTACTGAGAAAGCAGAGACAGGTTGATCTCTGTGAGTTCAAGGACAGCCTGGTCTACATAGTGAGTTCCAGGCCAAACAAGGTTGGACAGTGAGATCTTGTCTCAAAAAACAAACAATACAAAAATCTTGGAGGTATTCTGAAATACTTATATAAAAAGCAAAGGGAATTTCAGACTACCATTATATGTTAGTTTTTAAACAGTTATGAATCCCAACTATTCTGTGTAGATCTGAAGTCAGACTGGAAGACATTTATTAACTGCAAATTAGGACTTACCTGAGCTCTTCCTCTTCATCAGAGTCTTCCTCATCTTGCTCTACCTTGTACTCTTCCTCCTCACTTTGACCCTCTTCATCTTCATCAACTTCATCCTCCTCACCTTCCACACCCTCTTCCAGTTCTTCATCACTTTCCAAGGATGGCCTCTGTCTAGAGGAGAGTCTTCTAGAACGTTGCTTTGGTCGACATTCTGGACAAAACCAATCTCCATCAGGAACAGTCTGAACAAATCACATAAATGATCACTTAGCTATTGGTCATAACTTCAATTCCAGTTAAGAAGTAAAATAAGATAAAAATACCTTGAGCTTTGGTCGGACGCAGTAGGTGTGATGACCTCGGTCACAGCCATCACAGAGCACCATGTTTTCAGCATCCCCCTTCTTTCGGCATATCTTGCAGCGTGCATTCAGTATAGATTTGGACCATATCACACTACGGTCCAAGGTCGATAAGTGAAGAAAGACCTGGGATAGACTAGCAGAAGAAAGGAGAGACTCTCTCCAACGGTCCAGGACTGTTTTAAAGGAACGTCCACTGTCACTGCCATCTTAAATGAGAGGGGAAAGTGAGTGATTATAGTTCCTGGGCGGACCTAACATCTCCTAGAATTATTTTCTTGGCAGGTGAAACAGGTCAGATTTTATGTTTCTTCTAATACTTATAAAAAAGACCATTTTTTTTGTTCTGCATCTTGCTTTTAGGGAGGGGGACTGACAGAGGGTCTATTCTATCTATTCTATGTATATGTGTGTGCACACCATGTGGAGGCCAGAAGTTGAAGTTGAGTGTCTTCCTGAATCATTTCTCCATCATATTTTTTGGATAGAATCTCTCTGAACCTGGAGTCCATCTATTGGCTAGACTGGCTGGCCACCAAGACAAAGGAATATGCCTGTCTCTGCTCCCTCAGCACTGGGATTACAGGTCCATGCCACTATGCTAGGCATTTCACGTGGATGCTGGGGACCCAAACTCATGTTCTCATGCTTGCATGGCCAGCACTTTATCAACTGAAGCATCTCCCTAGAGACCCCCTTTCCCTTCCTTTTGTGGAGATAGGGTCTCCTGTAGCTCAGGCTAGCCTCATATAGCCTGTGTAGCCTAGGATGATCTCCACCTCCTAAATGCTGTATTACAGGTGTGTATTAGTACACTCAGGCGTGGTTTGTCATCTTAAACCTTGCTTATTCTCTAGGTTACAGGAATGACAAGGGGAGCATATCTCTTGCTTCTGTCATTTTCCTTTATGCAAGTCCAGGTTAACTGCTCAAGAAACTGCTGGGTGTGGTGGTTCACGTCTTTAACTCCAGTACTGGGAGGCCTGTCTCTGTGAAGTCAGCTTGGTCTATACAGAGAGTTCTAGGCCAGCGGTTAAGAACACTGGTTTTTCTTGCAGAAGACCCAGGTTCGAATCCCAGCACCCTATGGCAGCTAACAACTGTTTGTAACTCCAGTTCCGGGGGATCTGATAACCTCTTCTGTCCTCCACGGGCATTGTATGACATAGGTGCACCTACCTACATGCAGGCAATACACGCATACACATAAAATAAAAATAATAGATCCGGGCGTGGTGGTACATGCCTTTAATCCCAGCACTTGGGAGGCAGAGGCAGGTGGAGCTCTGTGAGTTCAAGGCCAGCCTGGTCTACATAGTGAGTTCCAGGATAGCTGGGGCTACAGGGAGACCCTGTCTCAAAAAGACCAAAAATAAATAAATAAATAAAAATAAAAAAATAAAAAATTTAAAACAAAACCTCCAAACAAAATACAAAAATAAATTACTAACTAAAATGATTTTAATATAAAATATTACATGGAGCTGGGCGTGGTGGAGCATGCCTTTAATCCCAGAACTTGGGAGACACAGTTCAAGGCCAGCCTGGCCTACATAGAGTTCCAGGCCTGCTGGGGCTACAGGGAGACCCTGTCTCAAAAAAGACAAAAAAAAAAAAAAAAAAAAAAAAATACACGATTTCCTAGAGTTCCATGATAGTAAGACATGCTGTGAATACATATTTTATGTGAAACAAGTGAATAGAAATACCAATTGTTTATTCTTTTGACTCACAGCTACATTTACTAAGATTTACTTTGCACATGTCAATTTAAAAGAGTTATGAGGGGCTGATAAGATGGCTCAGCTGGTACAGGTACTTGCCACCAAGCTTGATGACCTAAGTTTGAGCCCTGGGGACCCACATGGTAGGAGGGAACCAATTCCTGCAAATTGTCTTCTTATCTCCACATGTGTACCATGGCATGCATGTGTGCATAAACATTCACACTCATATACAATAAGTAAATGTAATAAAAAATGAAATAAAAAGTTTTGATTAGCAGAAGTGTGAAATATAAGAAGGGAGCCGTTAGGAAGATAACAGTTGTTTTGTAAGCTTGTCTCCAAATCCATTCCCTTCCAAACACTAAGTCAGGGTTCCCTTCAAAGCTCTGTGTGCGTATTAGTACTCAGTACTACAAAACACAAAATAATTCTTAAAAGACAAAACACGTTTCTTTAAGAAGTTAAAAATTTACCATCTCTCACACTAGATTGACTGGCCTCTCTTTTTCTTGTTCTTTTTTTTTTTCCTATCTCCCTTTTGATCTTTATTAATTTCTGTGTTACCTAATTTCAAATTGACAAAGTTAGTTGATGATCTGTATTACAGCTTAAAGGTTTAACCATAAGCATGACTTTATAAATGATGAAATTACCAACCTACACAATTCTCACATCATCTTATCTAAAACACAATTCTCTTCTCCAAGTTAAAAAAAAATGCCTATTTTTATCAGTGCAATTAATCACAATAAAACGGACACATTAGGGAAGGCAGAACATAAGGAGAATCAACCTTTCTCCCTTCTGACCCAGAGTCTCACATATATGAGGTAAGCACTCAGTCACTGAGCTACAACCCTAGCTCATGTTACTACCATCAACATCATCATCATCATCATCTTATTATTATTATTATTATTGACACAGGGTCTCACTAGGTAGCCCTAAATTTTGCTATGTAGACCAGGCTGGTCTTGAACTTATAGAGATCTGCCTCCTCTGCCTCTCAAGTGCTGGGATTATAAGCATGTGCCAGATGCCTGGTCCTAACAAGCCCTAAATGTAGCTTTTTAAAAATTCTGATTATTTATTATCATTTTATGTACATATTATGGTACGTGTGTGTGTGTGTATGTGTGTGTGTGTGTGTGTGTGTGTGTATGTGCATGGACTTGTGAGGTCAGAGAACAACTCTGTGCAGTCAGTTCTCTCTTTCCACTGCTGTGGGTTATGAAGATCAAACTCGGGTCATTGGGCTTAGCAAATGCCTTTACTTACTGTACTCTCTCTCTCTGGCCCCTATTTTAAATTTTGAGTGGCAGGGATGGCAGTACATGCCTGTAATCTCAGTACTTTGTAATGCTAAGGCAGACGGATTGCTGTGAGTTCAAGGCCAGTACATACATCCACTTAAAAATTTTTTATTTTGAGACCTCAGACTGGCCTTGAACTTGTGATCTTCTTGGACCATCCTCAGAGATGTGTGCCACCATGCCTGGTGAGCCTGTTGCTTTCTCAAGAAACTGGGTAATCTCTGAAGCTAAACTGGGAAAATTTCTATTCTGACTAATTTGCTATGCTGAAATATTAGAATTGCAAACTGTATAAATCAGCATACTATGGCCCTCAACAATCTACTCGATACAAATTGCAACAACTCCCAATGTTGACTTTAAAAAAAATTTTACTATTTTTATGTGTATGAGTATATTGCCTGTATGAGTGTATGTGTACCTGTGCTGTGCAATGCCAGCTGAGGTAAGAAGAGGATGTTGGAGCCCCTGGAATTGGACAGCTGATAGCAGTCATATGGGTGCTGGGAAATGAACCTGGGTTATCTGCAAGAGCAGTCAGTGCTCTTAACTGCTGAGTCATCTCTCCAGCCCCATTTTTTTTTTTCTGAGGGTCTCCCTAGTCCCAGCCCTCCTAGAAGTCACTATGTAGACCAGGCTGGCCTCAATCCCACAGAGATCTGCCTGACTCTGCTTCCTGATGGCTGGAATTAAAGGCGCTAACCACCACGCCCCAGTGTTCAATGTTAACCCCACCCCCCCATATTTACTAAGATGTACAGATGAAAATATAGACATACTACACAACAAGATTGGATTTTTTTTTCCTTTGAACTTATAGGCTTTTTTGGTTGTTGTCTTTTTTTTTTTTTTGGTCTTTTTGAGGCAGTCTCCCTATAGCCCCAGCTGTCCTGGAACTCACTATGTAGACCAGGCTGGCCTTGAACTCACAGAGATCTGCCTGCCTCTGCCTCCCCAGTGCTGGGATTAAAGCTGTGCACCACCACGCCGAGCAGGCCTTTTCTTCTCTATGTGTAAAGAAATGGGGTTTCAAGGGTAGTCTCAAGAACACTTGAGGCCTCTCTTAAATCTTCGTCTTGGAGATGAGAGTATGGTGAGTTTCATGAAGGCCTTTTACTGGACACAAGGGCACTATAACTCATGAAACTACAGGTGAGAAATCGCTGGGCAGGGCAGGGAGCTGCCATAACCCTTCACCTCCCACTCTACAGAATGAACTCCACACCTGCTGCTGTACTTGGACATCCCATAGTCCTGGCATCTCCTTGGGTTTTCACTGCATCTGAAGCTGCATCTTCACTAATGGCCTCTCCACAGGGACTACTGACCCTGCCATGTGGTATCAGGCCTCAGCCTCTCTCCATGACTCCCTTTATCTTGCATCTTTTATGCCTTCAAAACCAGTACCATGTGGGAGACTCTTCTGCGTTACCAAGTTTGGCTACCAGCCTGTGATGTAGCCTTGGCCCTTGTGGGCCAGTTTCTCTGTGATGACCCTGAGGAAATACCTTCCTAATGTCCTAGTAAAGCACAGACATTCTCACCTCAAAGGAAAACATCTTTAAAAATATATATATTATTTTTATTTTATGTGTATGAGTGTATTGCCTGCATGTATGTGAGTGCACTAGTGTTGTGAAATGCTTCGGAGGTCAGAAGAGGGTGTCGGATTCCCCTGGAACTGGAGTTGAGGACGTTTCATAGCCATGTGGGTAATGGAACCTGGGTCCCCTGCAAGAGCAGTCAGTGCTCTTAACGACGGAGCCATCTCTCCAGCCCCCAGGAAAACATCTCAATAATCACAGTTGATTCTTCAGTCCCAGCTGATCAGTACACACAGATTCTTAATCCAAAATATAATAAATAAGCCCTATTTCCAAAAATTGATAGTCTTTGCTTCTCTGAACTTTTGCTTCTCACAAGCTAGGCTGCTACTTTTTGCATTTCTCTCAGCTTAATATCTTCAAAGCTCCCACCAGAATGGCCCATTAGCTCTAAGCACATGGCTAAGCAATTACTTTACCACGGAGCTATGTCCCCAGGGCCCCTTTCCTTTCCTTTTTACCACCTCCTTTTATTTCCTTCATTTTTTATTAATTTTGTTATCTGACAATTTCATACATGTATATACTATATTGTGATTACTCCTCGACCCTTAATTCCATCCTATTCCTGTCAAACCCCTGCTTCTCATCCATACCACTTCCTTTCTCAGGTTCATGACCTTTTAGTTTTGTTTTGTGACACAGCTAATTACTTTCTTCAAAAAATTTTCTGAGACAGGTTCTCAGTATGTAGCTCTGGCTAGCCTGGAGCTCACTAAGTTGGCCAGCCTCCAGCTTATAGTGATTCACCTACCTCTGTCTCCCAAGTCCTAGGATTAAAGGTATGTGTGACTCTTAATTTATTTTTTCTTCATTTATTTATTTTTTGTCTTTTTGAGACAGGGTCTCCCTGTAGTGCCAGCTGGCCTGGAACTCACTATGTAGACCAGGCTGGCCTTGAACTCACAGAAATCTGCCCACCTCTGCCTTTAGTGCTGGGACTAAAGGTGTGCACCACCACACCCAGCGTGATTCTTACTTTAAAGAGGGTCATTGTGTTACTGTTGGACTAGAACTATCTATTGAAGCCTAGAGGGTACACAACTGAAAGCAGTGATTTTCCCTCTTCTTGAATCTATCAGCAGTGAACAGTTCAGTAATGAGGGGACTACCTCTTTTTCTTGAAAGTGATTTGGCTCTTGGACATAAAATTTTTTAAAAAGTCAACATTGGGAGTTGTTGCAATTTGTATTGAGTAGATTGTTGAGGGCCATAGTATGCTGATTTTTAGAGTTTGCGATTCTAATAGCCACCTGCTTCTGCCTGCAGTGCCCACAGAGGTCAGAGGAGGGCATCAGATCCCCTGGAACTGAAGTTATGGGTGCCTGTTAGCTGCTATATGATTGCTAGGAACTGAACCTCGGTCCTCTTCAAGAGCAGCCAGTGCTTTTAACTGCTGAGCCATCTCTCCAGCCCGAAAAATATAAACTATCTTAATATGATGAAATTGGGGACTGGAGAGATGGCTCAGCAGTTAAGAACACTGGCTGTGGACCTGGGTTCAATTCCCAGCACCCATATGGCAACTAACAACCATCTGTAAGTCCAGTTCCAGAGGATCTGATACATTCTTCTGACCTCCGCAGGCGTTGCACAACATGGGTGCACTTACCTACATGCGGGCAAGACACTACAGACAGTTGTTAGCTGCCATGTGGGTGCTGGGATTCAAACCCAGGTCTTCTGCAAGAACAACCAGTGTTCTTAACTGCTGAGCCATCTCTCCAGCCCCTCAGTCTGTATTTGTGACTTAGCACTTCGTGTACAGAAATTGGGGTAATCCATACGTACTTTTAAACCATACTGCAAATGGTGGAGATAGAAGTCACTAAGAAAAAACTTTATGCATAATTTACATTATTTGACATCTGGATAGTCATAAGTTTTGGTCATTATTTTTTTGTAAATGAAATGTCACAAAAAATGAGATTTAAAGAAATAGTTTAAAAATATTTATAAAAAATATCTAGAATTATAAAAACAGTATTTATACATTATTTTTTAAAATTCTTACCCGAAAAATCTCATCTTTAAAAAAAAAATGAAAACAATTTCAAGCTTTTTCTATTAATCTATCACTTTCATTATGTTGGCCAATAAAGTTCTAATAAGGGATAATTTCAAAATTATTTAAAACATAAGTAGTATTTTGAAATAAAAATAGGCACTCACCAAGTGGAGCTTTGAGGAAACGCCGCTCAATGCCCTGTTCTATCTGGAAGAGGGCCACTGCCAGGTGATGAACCACGCTGCTCACTGACTGTGGTGTGCTTGCGTTAGTTGAGACAGTACTTGGAGTTTCTGTTTTGACCCCCAAAAGTCTATAATTAAAACCAAAAGTTATGGCACTAAAAAACACTTATCAGGTGAAACTTGAGCCTACTCATTCCTTCAAAGTTTTCTTTTATTAATTATTTTGTGCATATATGTGTATAGTGTGTGCATGTATCTGTGTGTATGCACTTGGGTGTGTTCATGTCATGGCTCTTAGGTGAAGGTCAGAGGACAACCTCAGGTGTCCTACTTCACCTGTCCCACCTTGCTTGGAACAGGGTCATTTTTGTTGTTTGCTACTCAGACACCAAGCTAGTTGGCTTTTGAACTTCTGAGGATTCTCCTGTCTCTGCTCATCTTGTCCGTGAGAGCAGTGGGATTATGAACCCAGCTTTTTGTGGGCTCTTGGATCCTAACTAAGGTCCTCACTTGCATGGTAAGCTCTTTATCCACTAAGGAATCTCCCCAGTCCTCAAAGGTTTGTTTATAAAAGTGTAAGAAAGTTCCCTCAATCTCATCTGAGTGCTCAGATTCTTGTTCCAGCCACCTCTGCTGCCATGTGTCTGTGCCATGATGGATACACTCTTCCTTGATCATGGTGTTTTATCATAGCAACAGAAAAGGAACTAATACAACACCTGACATTGACTTCTGGCCTCTACACATGTGCTCACACTCATAAGAACATGTATATGCACTGCCCCCCCCAATAATAATGAAAGAATGAAATGACACTTACTAAAAAAGTCCAAACAACCCTCAAACCTTACAATGACAGTGGCAAACAGCAGTTGGTGATTAGAGCTCCTTTTGTACCTGTCTTTTATTATGACTCTTGCTTGTTCATCGATTTCCATGTCCTCTACCTCTTCATTCACAGCTTTAATTATTCCATTCTCCTTACTTTCTTCACTTAACAGATCATACCGTCCACTTTCCAAGGCTGATCTCCACAAGTTTCGATCTGGAACCTGTAACAAAAGCCAAATTTACTAACCCTGAAAAATGGAAATATGTTACTTTTAAGAGGTATGTACTTATTAATTCATGGACATTCTAGAACAGATGAATCAAAAAGGCATCTAAAAAGGTTACTAGCTGGGTGTGGTGGCACACCTTCAATCCCAGCACTCAGGAGAGAGGCAGGTGGATCTCTGTGAGTTCAAGGCCAATCTGATCTATTGAGTTCCAAGTCAGTCAGGGATACAGTGAGACCCTGTTTTAACAAAACAAAATAAACAGAAAATAAGGTTACGGCATTCAGGGGGCTGAGGCAAGAAAATTGGCAGGTCAGTCAGGGTTACATAGCAAGACATTGTGTCAAAAACAAAAAATAAACAAGTAAATAATGTTTCTTTTTGGTCTGAGACAGGATCTCCCTGTAGTCCCAGCTGGCTTTGAACTCACAAAGATCTGCCTGCCTCTGTCTCCCAGTGCTGGGACTAAAGGCTTGCACCATCACGTCTGGCAAAAGTAAGGTCTCTAAGGTTTCTAAATGGTGAAAATGTAATTTACATTATTTGTAGATAAAGGTTTTACTACCGCAGTCTATTAATTTTTTAAAATCTATTTTACGTGTATGAGTGTTATGACTGCATGTATGTAGGTGTACCACATACATGCAATGTTCATAGAGGCCAGAAGAGGGTGTCAGATCCCTTCAAACTGGAGTTAGAGAGTTGTTAATCACTATGTAGGTGCTGGGAACTGAACCTGGGTCCTCTGCAAGAGCAGCCAGTATTCTTAACCTCTGAGCCATCTCTCCAGCCCCAATAGTCTTGTTTTGTTTTTTCTTTCCGGTCTTTTTGAAACACGGTCTCCTTGTAGCCCCAGCTGGCCTGGAACTCAATATGTAGACCAGGCTGGCCTTGATCTCAGAGCGATCCATCTGCCTCTGCCTCCCAAGTGCTGGGACTACAGGCATGAACCACCACACCCGGCCCAAAAATCTATTTAAAGAAAACACCAAAAATAATCACTTGGGAGGCAGAGGCAGGTGGATCTCTGTGAGACCTGGTCAACATAGTGAGTTCCAAGTCAGTTGCAGTTAGTGCTCTTAACTGCTGAGCCATCGCCCCAGCCCCTAAAATTTTTTTTTTTCTGAGACAGGGTCTTACTTTGTAGCCCAGGCAGACTCTTGGTAATCCTCCAAAGTGCTGGGATTATAGATGTGAGCCACCATGTACAACTTTATAAATGATTTTTAAGTTGACCACTTGATAGTGTTAAAAATGGCAAATAATGGGTAACTCTGTAACTCCAGTTCCAGGGGATTTAACGCCCTCTTCTGAAGTCCATGGGCACTATATGGCAAGGGTGCACTTACACACAGGCAGATAATATACTCATCCATAAAATAAAAATAACAAGTGTAAAAACAAAGGCATGAATTGAACACATGTAAAATCCAGGTACAGCAGCATAAGCCTGTAATCCCAGCACTGAGATCTAGAGTTCCTGGCCAGTTAGGACTACAGTTCAAGCCTGTCTCAAAGAAAGAAACCAGCAGCTAGGGATGTAGCTCAGGGTTAGAGTACTTGCCTAGAATATATGAGGTCTTGGGTTCAATGTTCAGTACTGGGGGCAGAAAAAGGGGGGAGGAACCAACAAATGAACAAAACCAAGAGAAGGTAGGAGTGCTTAAACTATTAAAAATTAGTATGATTGGCCAGGCATGGTGGCACACACCTGTAGTCCCAGCACTTGGGAGGCAGAGGCAGGCGGATCTCTGTGAGTTCAAGGCCAGCCTGGTCTGCATAGTGAGTTCCAGGCCAGCTAGGGCTACAGGGAGACCCTGCCTCAAAAAGACACACACACACAAAAATTAGTATGATCAAAATTCTGGGCAAACAAATCAGTTAAAACTAAAAGTAAAGAGGTCCAAACCTTGATCACTCCTAATGTTCCTTGATAGATTCTGTCTTCAATATCCAAAAGAAAGTCCCTGAGCCTTAGCTCGAGCTGCCTTTCTGCAGACATCTGTGATGTGTCACATGCACTGGAAGATCTTCCCCGAGTGTAAGTAGACTTATAATCAATCTGAGGTTTGTCTGAAATAAACATCACATATTAAGATATAAGGATTTTCTCAGTAAACAAAATTGTTCCACATGACATGATTTTGAGATAATGGATATAAAAGCGCTATAAATCCTCAAGAGCCAAAAATAATAATTGCAATCTTGCTGGGCATGGTAGCGCAAGTCTTTAATCCCAGCACTTGGGAGGCAGAGGCAGGCGGATCTCTGTGAGTTCAAGGCCAGCCTGGTCTACATAGTGAGTTCCAGGACAGCTGGGGCTACAGAGAGACCCTGTCTCAAAAAGACCAAAAAAAAAAAAAAAAAAAAGCAATCTCTGTGAAATTGAGGCCAGCTTAATCTTCATAATGAGTTCCAGACCAGCTGTGGCTACAAGGAGACCCTGTTTCAAAAAAAGAATTCTTATCATGCCGGGCATGGTGGCCTGTGTCTTTAATCCCAGCACTTGGGAGGCAGAGGCAGGCAGATCTCTGAGTTCAAGGCCCGACTGGGCTACATAGTGAGTTCCAGGACAGCTAGCCCTATAGGGAGACCCTGTCTCAAAAAGACCAAAAACAAAAATTCTTTTTTAGTTCTTGCGGATCTGACACCCTCTTCTGGCATCCATGGACACTGCACACATGTGGTACACTTCATTACATACAAGCAAGCAAAACACTGATACACATAAAAATACAAATAAATGGGCTGGAGAGATGGCTCAGTGATTAAGAACACCGACTGTTCTTGCAGAAGACCCGTGTTCGAATCCCAGGACCCACATGGCAGCTAACAACTGTCCGTAATTCCCGTTCCAGGGGATCTGACAACCTCTTCTGTCCTCCGTGGACCTTGCACCACACGGGTTCACTTACCTGCATGTAGGCAATACATGCATACACATAAAATAAACATAATAAATAAAAATTTAAAAAAAGCAAAAAAAATACAAATAACAATTTTTTTGGGTTTTTTGGTCTTTTTGAGACAGGGTCTCCCTGTAGCCCCAGCTTGGCCTGGAACTCACTATGTAGACCAGGCTGGCCTTGAACTCACAGAGATCTGCCTCCCGAGTGCTGGGATTAAAGGTGTGTGTCACCACGCCCAGCACCATAAATAAAATTTTTTTAAAAGGAAAGAAAAAGCAAAACAATATCAATCCCCCCTTAGGATGGCTGACTAGAAAAGTAAGATAGTTAACACCTGCTGACAAGGAGGTGGAGAAACTGGAACCTTCATACACCTTGGGTAGGAAAATAAAAGTGTAGCAGTTCCTAGAGCATCAGTCACTATATGACATAGCATTTGTTTTTTTTTTTTTTTTTTTTTTTTTGTCTTCTTGAGCCAGGCACCACACATGGCTATGACAGTAATTTTAATTGCTAGAAATATACTTAAGACAAAAATGAAGATTTATGTCAATAGAAGAACTTGTAAATATTCATAGCAGAATGTCCCATAATAGTCAAAAAGTGGAAATGATCAGACATGGTGGCATATGCCTTTAATCACAGCACTTGGGAGGCAGAGGCAGGAGGTCTCTGTAAGATCAAGACCAGCCTGGTCTACATAGTCAGTTCAGATCATCTGGGGCTGCAGGGGAGACCCTGTCTCAAAAAGAGCAAAAAAAGTGGAAATAAACCAAACATCTATCAAACTTACAAATAGCATATACACACAATGGAATATTATTTGGCCATAAAAAGTTTTGAGATATGCTAGTTCTAGGATGAACCTTAGAAACATGCTATGTTGCCAACCACAAGTCTGTGGGGAACCTTCTTCACTGCTGAGTGATGTGGGAGGATCCAGCCAACTGTGGGTGATGCCACCCCTGGGCAGGTGGGTCTATGTTGTACAGAAAACAGGTTGAGAAAAAAAAGCAAGTTGAACAGGAGACAGGAGAGCAAGCCAGTAAGCAGCATTTTTCCATAGCCTGTGCTCCTGCTCCTGCCTCCAGGTTCCTGCCCTGAGTTCCTACCTTGGGCTCCCTGATGAACTGTGACCTGGGAGATGGAAGCAGAATAAACCCTTTCCTCCCCAAGTTTATATTGGTCAGAGTGTTTTGACACATCAATGGAGAAACAAACTAGAATACTCAATGATTTGTGGTTGTCCAGAGTTGGGGGGCGGGATCAAGAGGAACAGGGAGAAAAAGTGGGGGGAGCTAAAAAGTACACAGATGTTTTTAAATATGAGAGAGAGAGAGAGAGAGAGAGAGAGAGAGAGAGAAGAGAGAGAGAGAGAGACTGCTGTGCTGCATATGCATATGGCTGACTCTCCTGGCTTTGCCTCCCATCTCGCCATAGGAGTGCTGAGATAATTTAGATTAGATTGAGATAGCTGTAGGACATTAATAAAGCATACCTCTGGGTGTGTTTGTGAGGGAGTTTCTACAATAGATTGACATGTAGGACAGCAACCAGTGATGGAGGTTCAAAGAAGCACCATGTGTGGGTGGTACCATACAAACAGATCAGGGGCCCAGCTGGAATAAAAGGGGAAGGGGACGAGGAAGCCAGCTTGTGCAGGCATCGTTTCCACCACCATGATGCTCAGTCATACTCCTCAACTTCCATTACAATCGTCTGAAAACATGGGCCGAGATTAATCTTTTTTCCCTTGTTTCACTCAGGTGTTTTGCCACAACAATGAAAACCCAATTAACACAGGTAGTCAGTCTACTGATCAAAGAATGAAAAACTATCTCATACTGTAAATGGTTCTTCACAGTCCAAGTAGAACACAAGAGAATTCTGAGAACCTTGTTTATATAAAGAAATATACAGAGGCTAGAGAGATGGCTCAATGGTGAAGAGTGCTACTGCTCTTGAAGACCTGGATTCAATTATCAACACCCACATCAGGTGGCTCACAACTGCCTGTAACTTTAGTTCTAGGGACTCCTATGCCCTCTTTTGGTCTCCATGGGTGCCCACATGCCATAAATCCATATAGGCACAAACACAAGAAACCAAGCCAAACCAAACCCCAAACCTCACACCTTCTAACTTACAAACTGAAAGCATGGTCAAAATAAAAGCTCTCTATAAAACAGCTTAAAAAATGTTCAATCTTGGATGATCAGAGATTATGGGGAGAAAAAAAAAAACCCAATAGTTTTCATTGAAAATTTACCTGAAAAATGAAATTTCTCCTCAGAAAAATGGGCTAGCTGTGTACATATTCTGCTTTTCTCTTGCAACAAAGTTTCTTTTAAGGCACTTTCTCTATGTCCTCTAGAATTAAGAGCTTCAATAAGCTGGTCTAGCTGTTCACAAGAACTGTAAAAGCACCATCGATTTGGCTTATGCACTGGTTTTGGCAGCTGTAGAGAATCATCACATGGACCTTGGTCAAGGCTGGAGGTAGATTCAGATATCAAGGACTCTTCAGTTTTAGCTGATACCTGAGGATTGTGAGACTGTACGTTATGAAATGATGAAGGTCTAGGCAATAGCATGTCTTCAGTGAGACCTGAATAATCCTCTTCAATAAACAAACCAGGAATAGAAGGGAAAATCCAGTACCGCCTGTACATGCGGTCACGTCCCAAGGGAAAGATATTGGTACATGCGATGGCACTCTGGATCTTTTCTAAGAGTTCTTTCTCTTTTCGTTGGTATTCTTGTTTTAAAGCTTCTTCGGCATTAGCAGTAATAGACTCCTGCATTATACAGTTGATTTCTTCTTTAACTCCATGTTGTCCACCCTTCCCTGTGTTGAAATAAAATGTATCATAATATTTTAAAATTTTATTAGAAAAATAAGAAGCACAAAATTACCACTATTTGTTATATGTTATGGATAGAATTGTGTTTTTTCACACCCCAGAGTCATATGCTGAGGCCCTACCCTATACCCAAAACTGCATTTGAAGCTAGAGCCTTTAAGGAGATAACTGTTTGTGCTCTGATGCAGAGAAAAAGCTGAGTGAAGATACAGTGAGAAACTGATCTATTTTTGTTTGGTTTTGAGACAGGGTCTCCCTGTAGTGCTAGTTGGCCTGGAACTATGAAGAGCAAGCTGCCTTGACCTCACAGAGACTTGCCTGCCTCTGTGATTAAAGGCACACACCATGACACCTGACAGAAGTTGTTCCTTGTATCTATAGGAGGCATGCATGTTGTTTGAATACATTATAGAGTGAAAAGTAGTAAATGCAAAGAGTCAGCAAACTAAATGATCTACAATCGGCATAGTGGTGCATGCCTATAACCCTGAGAGGTGGAGGCAGGCATATTAGCTACATAGCAAATTCAAGTCCAGCCTGGGCTACACAAGATCTAGCTTCAAATAAACTGGAAGGAAAAAAGAGAAGAGTGAAGCTGGCATGTGAAAGAGAGAAGAATACTGTCTAAGTAACATACAAATGAACTAATCATGGGGCCGAAGAGATGGCTCAAGAGTTAAGAGCATTTCCTGCTCTTCCAGAGGATGAGTTCAATTCCCAGCACCTCCATCGGGCAGCTCTAGGGGATCCAGCACCCTCTTCTGGCCTTTGTGGACACCTGCACATGCGTGCACACACGCACATACATACACACACACACACACGATTTTAAAAATAATAAAATATGGGAGCTGGAGAGATGGCTCAGCAGTTAAAAGCACTGGCTGCTCTTGTAGAGGATCCAAATTTGATTCCCAGCACCAACATGGCAGCTAACAGCTGTCTGTAACTCCAGTTTCAGGGGATCCAACACTCTCTTCCATGGGCACTGCACAACATAAATCCATTCACATACATGCAGGCAAAATATTCATACATATAAAATGAAAAAATAAAAATCTTAAAGTTCCAGGCTAGCTGGGGCTACGCAGTGAGACCCTATGTCTACACGACACAAAACAGTCCCATAAATACAGTAATATGATTTCACAAAATCCTTTTATAAGAAAATGGTCACAATTTTTATAACTCATCATGAAATATACAAGGCACATATTTAAAACACCACACAGTGGGGGCTGGGCGTGGTGGCACAAGCTTTAATCCCAGCACTTGAGAGGCAGAGGCAGGCAGATCCCTGTGAATTCGAGGCCAGCCTGGTCTACATAAGTGAGTTCCAGGCTAGCTGGGGCTACAGGGAGACCCTGTCTCAAAAAGACCAAAAATAAATAAACACTACACAGCTAGGCATGATGGTATACACCTATAATCCCAACACTTGTGAAGGTGGAACGGAAAGAGAATCAGGAGTTCAAGTCTGGGCTTGGCTACCAAGTGAGTTCACAGCCAGTCTGGGGTACATGAGACCCTGTCGAGAGAGACGGTGGGCGGGGGGGAGAGGAGACATGTGCACAAGAATCACAAAGCAGCTTAAAATATTTCAGAATAAACAAATTAAAGTGCCTATCAACAAAAAATACACACAATTATGCCCTTATATAATCTGACTAGTACCTCTTCTACTTTTGTGTGGTCCTGGGTCATCTTCATCCTCAGTGACCATATCATGATCGAGTTCCTTTTGCTCTGTTTCTTTACTCTCAGTACTAGTATCAAAATCTTCCCTTTCTTCTTCCCTGAAAGGAAAAGGAACGAGTTTTAATTTTGAGAACACATAAACGTAAAAGTACTGATCCAAGATATGGATGAGAAAAATGGAAGCATTAAGTCATGCTTGGCCCTGGAGCAAATGGGGGAAAAATGATTGGAAAACATTGGCTGCTATGTGGGTGAGAAAGGAGATGATGCAGACTAATAAAGAAGTTGCTGGAATCAGCCAAGTGGCTGGCTAGGTGATGCCAGTGGCAGAATAGGGAGACAACTACCAGAGGAGAGACGCACTCAAATTTCAGGTAAGTGGGCAGAATAAATGGACATAAGGGTTATCTACCATGTTGTTAAAATTAAAACTAAAGGGGTTGGGGATTTAGCTCAATAGTAGAGTGCCCTGGGTTTGGGCCTCTGCTCAAAACAACAACAACAACAAAAAAAACCCAAAAAACCAAACCTCCCAAAACCAAAAAAAAAAACCACTAAAATTATATGAACCTAGGAATAAATTCCATCATTTAAACTGGGTGTGATGGTACATGTCTGTAATCCCAGTACTTCAGAGGCAGAGGCAGGAAGACTGTCTCAACTTTGTGGCCAGTCTGGGCTATATAGGGAGTATCAGATCAGTTAAAATTAATAGTAAGAGTCTTTCTCAAACAAAAAAATTCCATCATTTATATTTCTATATCCAAAGTGAAGTTTTACAAGTTTGTCTGTATTCATTGAAGAAATAGGATAAGGCACATGAGGGTGACTGGATGAGCCTAAAAAATATGAAGGGGCCAGTGAGATGACTCAGTGGGCAAAGGCACTTGCCCACACAACCCTAATGACCTGCATTCAAATCCCAGAATCCATGTAAAGGTAGGCGGAAGGAAAGGATGGACTACACAGCCCCCACTCCCATCACACATACAAACAATAATATAGTTTTTAAACATATGAAGGAGGTAGGAAACAGCATATCTTAAAATGAAATGGAGATCTTCTTTAAAGGGTAAAAACTCATTCAATTTTATGTCCCTTACAGGGTTTATACTGAGTTCAATACTGTATGACTGTATTAATTCAACTGTGAACCTAAAAATTTACAGCCACCTTTGAAAGAGACGTATCCTTGCTCTGGAATGTGTTACTGAATATGTTAAAGCTGTAATGAAATGCTTCTTCTAATTATGTGGTTATTAAATTTTAAAAAGGTAAAAAAACAAAAACAACAACAAAAAAACATATGAAGGAGACAGGTGTGGTGGCACATGCCTGTGATTCCAGCACTTGGGAGGCTGAAGCAGGAGGATCAGGCTAGCTATGGCTATATGTGACTCTATCTCAAAATCAACCAGCTCCCCCACATCGCCCCAAATAAGAAGTAGAATCTATACCATGCTTAATTTTCTTATTTGTTTGTTGAGACAGTATGACCTGTAACTTTCTATGTAGCCTGAGCTGGCCTCAAACTGCTACCCTCCTTCCTTCACCTCCTAAGTGATTACAGGTGTGAGCCACCAAACCCAACTTTTCCTTTTTTAAAAAGGGGGCTGTAGTATAGCTCAGTGGGAAAGCACAAGTTGAACATGTGCCAGACCCTGGGTTCAGTACCCAGCACAAAGAATAAAAAACAATAAAAATGAGAAAATTTATGTACATACTATGAATATAAGCATTTCAGCCAGGCATGGTGGCACATGTGTTTAGTCCTAGCACTTGGGAGGCAGAGGCAGGCGGATCTCTGCAAGTTTGAGGCCAGCCTGGTCTCTATAGTGAGTTCCAGGCCACGTGGGGCTACTGGGAGACCCTGTCTGAAAAAGACCTCCCCCGCAAAAAAAAAAATTTAAAGAAAATAACCATTTCAAAGTGTACAACTTAGTGTTGTTTAATATATTTACAAGGCTGTCCAATCACCAATACCTCCTAAGTTTTCAAAATTTTAATTATTCTAATAGATAATTTTGGCAGCTGGAGAACTGACTCAGTGGTTAAAAGCACTGGCTGCTCTTGCACAGGACCTGGGTTTGGTTCCCAGCACCCACTGGCAGCTCACAACTGCCTGCAACTTCGGTTCCAGGGGATCCTACGCCCTCTTCTGTCCTCTGAGGGCACTGCATGACACCGGTGCACTGACATACATGCAGGTGATACACTCACACACATAAAAAAAAAATTTAAAAAAGAAAACCAGAAAATTCATTCATACTCTCATTTCTGCTTCTCGACTGCCCCTGGCAACCATGCATTAATTTTCTTTCTCTGTAGATCTGCCTATTGTAGACATTTCATATAAATGGTGTCAATTCAATACCTAGGCCTTTTATGACTAGTTGATTTTTATCTAATTAATTAACCAATTAATTAAACTACGGAACGCTTCACAAATTTGCGTGTCATCCTTGCGCAGGGGCCATGCTAATCCTCTCTGTATCGTTCCAATTTTAGTATATGTGCTGCCTAAGCAAGCACATGACTAGCTGATTTAATTTATCAAGTTTTTAAAGTTCATCTACATCATAGAATATATCAGAACTGCTTTCCATTCATGCACTAAGCCAGGTGTGGTGGTACATGCCTATAATGCTAACACTTGGGAAGCAGAGGTAGGGAGGGTTTAAGTTTGAGGACATCCTGGTATAGGTGGACAGTGGAAGAACTCAACCTTCCAACCTAATCCCTGGTGATGGCTGTGGAGGGTTAGGGAAATAAACTATGTATGCAAGAAATATTACTGTTAAGAGTGTCTATACATAAAGTTCATAGGCGCTTTTCTAAATTTTGAAAGCATTTCAGAGGTTCAGGTATGACTTTATTTTTTATGAACATGAGGTAAATAAATACAGCCAAATGAGGAGTGTAATACAAACCGTACCCTGTATCTGCCATAGAATTCTGTTGCTCATCTTCCTTCAGTTTTTCCTGTTTCTCTTTCATTTTTTGTTCTTGCTCCTTAAGTTTTTCTTCCTTCCTTCTACGTATTCTGAAAGTTAAATAAAAGATAACAGTCTATCTGACACAGACAATTAAGCTTCTTGTCATTAATCCAATTACGAAAAGTACTCCAAATGCTATGACAAAACTATACTGTAGGAATTTATTCCTAACCTTTTTAGAAAGCCAAACACCAGTGGAAGCCAGTGCCATACTATAACCAGCACTAAGTAGCACAGTTGACTGTGAACACCTCTTACCTAGCAGCTGCTGCTTCTCTCTCTTTTCGATGCTGTTCCGCTTTTAGCTCCCGGAATTCCTGCTTTGCTTGTCGTAATACATCAACATAATCTTCAATGAAATCTCTAGTAGAAACTAGGGTCAGTAACTTCCCACAGAGAGCATGAAGTATCTTCATTTTTTCTCCTGTCAAATGGATAAATGACTTCTGTGTTATCAATGGGGAAAAAAGGAACTGTGTTTGACAATTTTTAATTTGTGGCTGAATACTAAAATGCCTAATAAGGAACAGGGAATAGAGTTTCATAGTCAAATACATCAGTCGGATCATTTCAAAGCAATTTTGGGCTTTTAATTCATTAATGTATTTTTATAGGATCACCTGTAGCCCAGGCTGGCCTTTAAATCATCCTGCTTCCATCTTCCAACCATTGGGATTATAAGCATGCAATATCATGCCTGGCTTTTTATTTTGCTTTGAGACAGGCCCTTACTATGCAGTCCAGGCTGTCCTTAACTTTCAATCCTTCTGCCCCTATCTCCCAAGTGGTGGTATTATAATGTACAATAATGCCATGCCTGGCTTTTTTTTTTTTTTTCTTTCTTTTTTGAGACAGGGTCTCCTCCCTGTAGCCCTAGCTGGCCTGGATTCCCTATGGAGACCAGGCTGGCCTTGAACTCACATAGATCCATCTGCCTCTGCCTCCCGAGTGCTGGGATTAAAGGCACATACCAGTTTATACAGTGTTGGGCACCAAACCCAGGACAATAGATGGCAATATTCTATCCAACTGAGCTACATTCCCAGTCTGAAAATTTTTCTAATTGCACACAATTATTTTTCAAGTTTCAGAATCATTAATGAAATTCAAATTAAAAATAAGATGTACAGCTGGGTGTGGTAGTGCACACCTTTAATCCCAGTACTTGGGAGTCAGAGGCAGGGGGATCTCTGTTAGATCAAAACCAGTCTGGTCCACATAGTGACCTCCATGACAGCCAGTGCTACATAGGTGAAATCCTGTCTCAAAAAAGAAAAGAGGAAAAAAAGGAAGTGAAAGATAATCCCATCTTGACATCTCATACTATTTCTCACACCCTAAGCTCTCATTGAAGCAAATAGCAGAGTTTAGCAGCTGAAGTTTAGACTTCTGATATTTAGAAATAAACAAGAAAGCAATTTTCTAGTTCAATCACTCTTCTAAACTTACAAAAGGAACTATATTAACCACAAATTTTTCATTCATTAGAAAATCCAAGTTTAGGGGCCTGGAGAGATGGTTTAGAGGTTAAGAGCACTGGCTGCTCTTGCAGAAGACCGGGCTTTGAATCCCAGCACCCATATGGCAGCTAACAACCATCCTTAACTCTAGTTCCAGAGGATCCAATGCCTTCTTCTGTCTGCAGGTACTATACAACATGGGTGTACTTATATACATGCAGGATAACACACATAATAAAATAAATCCGAAGAAAATTTCAAAAAAGAAAATCCAAATTTAAAAGGAAGCCATATACCCAGGCACAGTGGAACATATTATTTATTTATTATCATTATTTTTGGGGTCTTTTGGGGACAGGGTCTCTCTGTAGCTCCGGCTGGCCTCCAGCTCACAGAGATCCACCTGCCTCTGCGTCTTGAGTACTGGGATTAAAGGCATACACCACCACGCATGGCTGGAACATATTGTTTATAAATTCAGCACTTAGAATGCCTAGGCAGCCAGAGGTTCCAGTTAAAGCCCCTGGAGCTATCTAGTAAAATCTATTTCAAAAAACAAAGTAAAATCAGTATCGTATAATTAAAATTCATATGAATAAGAACAATAGTTTAAATTTGGAGCTCTGTATTTTGATAACATTTTAAAATTTTATTATTATTGCATGTGTGTATGGTATGAATGACTATGTGCCACAACAAACGTGGATGTCTGAGGGCAACCCTCAGTTTTCTCCTTCTACCTTTTTAAGGCAGGGCCGCTCTTATTTCTTCTGTACTGCATACTCCTGCCTCCACCTCCCATCTCCTCACAGGAGTGTTGGGATTACATACATGTGCCATCGACTCTGGCTTTAAAATTTTTTTTTAATTATTTTTATCTTTTATGCATATGAGTGTTTTGCCTGCATGTAAGAAAGTGCACCGATATCATGCAAAGCCCAAAGAGGCCAGAAGAAGGAGTCAGATTCCCCAGAACTGGAGTTACAGGGAATTGTTAGCTGCCATGTGAGTCCTCTAGAACAGCCAGTACTCTTAACCGCTGAGTCATCTCTCTAGATCCAGCCTCTGACTTTTTTATTTATTTATTTTTATTTTATGTGTATATGTGTATTGCCTGCATGTAGGTAAGTGTACCCATGTTGTGCAATGCCTGCAGAGGTCAGAAGAGGCTGTCGGATCCCCTGGGATTGGAGTTACGGACAGTTTGTTAGCTGCCATGTGGGTGCTGGGATTCGAACCCGGGTCTTCTGCAAGAACAACCAGTGTTCTTAACCACTGAGCCATCTCTCCAGCCCTCCCCCAGCCTCTGGCTTTTTATGTAGGTTCATGCTTGTGTGTGGCAAAAGCTTTTACCCACTGACCATTCTGTTGGTCCAAATATTCCTTTAATTAAAAAACTGCTTTATCAGGCTGAGGAAATATATCAGTTAGTACAGTCCCTGCCTAGCATGCACAAAGTCCTGGGTTCAATCTCCTGTATCATGTAAACAGAGTATGCTGGTGCATGTCTATAATCCTAGCATAGGGGGGTAGAGGAAGGAGGATCAGAAATTCAAGGCCAGCCTTGGCTACATAGTGAAATAGGGGACAGCCTGAACTACAAGAGATCTTGTCTCAACAAAACAAAACAAAACAAAAAAATAAACCACCAGCCAACCAAAAAAACCCTGATAATGACTATGTTCATTTTCTTTTATGCTGATCCATCACCCAAGTTTCTTATTAGCTTGTCAGCTTTCTGGCTAACAGACAGGAAGAGGGCGTGTTAGAAAAGTTCCACCTTCCAACGTTTACCTGGTGTCAAATCATACACTGATGTGCTAGACAGTTTTTTCACCAGACTGGGATTGCTCAATCGGAGTTCCATACAGGCATCATCTGTAGCATCGAATCCTCCTCGTTTCTGATACCGGTACTTTGCATTTGCTGATGTTACATCAGCACCTGAAGCTAAGATGTGCAGTCTGAGGATTTCAGAAAGAGTGCAGCTATCAAGATCCAAGCTTTTCAAACTGCAGCCTATAGTTGTTAAAAAATGAAGCAATCATTTAGAAAATAAACGATAAATACTTAGCAATGTAAATGTACCTTTATAAATTAAAATATATTGCCAAACAAAAAATAAAGCCCACACATACCCTGGTGTAACTGTGGCCATGCAGCGGCCAAAGATGCAACTGCAGACAGTGCAGATTTTGTGGGGTCTGCATCTTCATCCAAAGCCTCTGTTAAATCTTTAAGAAATAAATACTTTATTCTAGTGCAAGTCAAAGCTTGAATATTTGGGAAGAATGGCCTTTTAAAATGATGAAAGAAACAGCAAACAGCTTAACATTCAGGAACCTCAAAAGAACCAACTCCAAGTACAAGCATTATTCACATTCTGCTTAGTCTCCACTTGCAACTATAAATCCTAGAACATAAGCTTTACACTAACATTTCCTTATAAAGCACACAAAAGAAAACTTCTGAATTACCAACAAGATGCATATTCCAAAAAAGGCAAAATGTACTTTAGAATTAAAAATAAATCACTCACTCAATATAGCAGGAGAAAGTCTACTGTGAAAGTTGAGTGAAGACACCCAATCTTACAAACATTTTAAGACTGAATCATAACAAAGCATAGGTTGCAACCATCACAAAATCATTCCAATAAAGAGCTAAAAGAATTGCTTTAGCTTTGAACACTGTTTAAATTACAAATAGAACAAAACAGCAAATCTACTGGTACAAACGTAAAAGCATTAGCGTAAACAATTATTTCCAATTATAATACGGAGATAAAAATTAATGTGCCAACCATAAAAAGACCTAATGCTTGCCCAAAACAAAATAAAGCAAAGCAACCCAACTGCTGTATGACAGAACAGGTTCACGGTGAACATAGAGAACATGTATTCTGATGGTAGCTCTGTCTAGTATATATCCTTTAGATAAGTCACTTATTCTGGGCTTCAGTTTCTTAAAAAGAGTAAGTCTAGAAAAGTAGTTTGAAAATTCTTCAAATGAATTATTTCTTAGAAGTTCAGCAAAGAAGAGATAAAGATACACAGGTGCCAAGGATCCAAGTGCAACCAATTATGACTAGTAATAATCAGATTAGAGATGCATGCACCAACATTTCAGTGTTATGAGCAAAAACAATGACAATAGGCACCATAAAATTAACCACACTCCTGGAAACACAGCTATAAAAGTGGGTTGGTTCTTTTCCTTAGTAGAAATGAAGTTGTCCAACCTTGAACATCTTGATTAAAAACTATAAAAGCCTTAAGAAATGAACCACCAACAGAAGAATTTTTTTACTGTTTTAAATAAAATAACATGTTAAAATACGTTATTCTTTACATATATTTGCTCTTTAACTGACCAAATGGCACTCTGTAAAAACCATAACTACGACTACAGGATTTGCTGAGTGCATGTGAGTACCTTTCCAAAAGAATATGGCTGAACCGTATCCAGTATGTTGTAACTATTTGAAGCAGTTACATGTATTATGTTGTTTTAATGTAGAATAAGGTAAATATAATTCTAACACTCAACAATGATATCCCAGAAAAAAACTGAAAACTATCCTACATCCGGAGGATGCTCTTGTCCCCACACTTCAAAGGGTTTAAAGTTCAAAGTATAAAACTTGATGGGGAACAGGTTAGGCTGGGGCACTAGAATCCCAACATTTAGCAAGTGGAGGCAGGAGGATCAGGAGTTCAAGCCACATAGCAAGTTCAAGACCAGCCTGACTCAAAACAGAAGTAGCTGGGCATGGTGACTCACACCTTTAATCCCAGCACTCAGGAGGCAGAGGCAGGCAGATCTCTGGGAGTTTGAGGCCAACCTGGTCTCCATAGCAAATCCAGGCCAGCCAGCTGTGGCTATAGGAAGACCCTGTCTCAAAAAGACCGAAAAAAAAAAACAAAACCCATCCAAAACACAAAACCCAGAAGCAACAACAAAGACTAAAGACAGGAACTGACAGTACAAGGTCTTAAATACTGCACTCAGGTTTCTAAGATTTGGTTTAAAACAGGGAGATCGTAGGCTAAAGAAATTAGATGGTTTTTTTTTTTGTCTTTTTGAAGCAGGGTCTCCCTGTAGTGCCAGCTGTCCTGGAATTCACTATGTAGACCAGGCTGGCCTTGAACTCACAGAGATCCACCTGCCTCTGCCTCCCAAGTGCTGGGACTACAGGCGTGCGCCACCACGCCTGGCTAAGAAATTAGATCTTTTTAAAAACAGATTGTGGACAATACTAAGACAAATATTCAAAATTTCAACTTTGTTGCTATATTTTGAAGCAATATGATATCATTATTATGGGGTTAGATCAGACCGCCTAGTTTGCGATCTGTCATCTTAGCCATGTTTCTTAAGTTACATTTCAATTTCTTTACTTGGAAAATGAAAAGATACCATATCCCTCACAAAGGTGGTATGAGCATTAAATAATATGTTTTATATCACCTCCTATCATTGTGATTGTCAGTAAACAACCTTACCAAATTTGAGTCTTCTCACCACTAACAGAAAATTCATTCTTATTTTTTTTTTCCTGCCCACTTTGTCCTTCATTAGAAACAGCAGGAAATACCTTCCTGGTAAGACCAGTTAACGTGAAAGTAAACACACAAAAACAAAACCCTATCTCACTGCTTTCAGGAAGATTGGAAACTTTTCTGTTACTGAGATGGGAAGACAGATTTATTCCTGGGGTAGTAGTCCAGGGCACTGAAATAACCACGTACAATGTGAGCAGTAACCACAGCTAAGAAGACAGTCCTGTATAGGAACAGCACTGTAAAACTGCTCTATAGAGCAAGAAAATCATGAATAGAAAAAAAAAGGCAATAGAAACACCAACTGTTCATATGTAAAATCCTTTGCATTAACTGATTTTCCCACGTAATTTCCCTTCCATTCCACTTTTCTTCTAAAACACATTTCAGTATTCTGCTTTGTGTGCATTTGTGTATCTATGATGGGGGGGGCAGTGAAGACAGAGGACAACTTCCTCAGGCACTGGTTCTTTTCTTCCACTGTGGATTCCAGCGTCAAATTCCTGTATTTTTATCCTAGCTGAGCCATTTCACTGGCCTGGCTTTTTCCATTAGGACCTCTAAAACAATAAAACTCATCTGCTTTAAATGTTGAATTAGGAGCTGGAAAGATGGCTCAGTGGTTAAGGGCACTGGCTGTTCTTGCAGAAGACTTGGGTTCGAAACCCAGCACCCACATGGCAGTTAACAACTGTCCATACAGTTATAAGGGATTTGATGCCTTCTTTTTTCCTTTTCAGGCACTGCACAACATGTGTGCACTTACATACATGTAGGCATAACACTCACACATAAAAATAAGATAAGAATTTAAAGGTGTTGAATTAAATACAGCTTTTGTTTTTTGGTCTTTTAAATATAGCTTTATGCCTTGTGTTAAGGTCAGAACTTGAACAAGAACTCTATAACTCATGTATTTTTTTGAGACAAAGTCTCATGTATCCCATGCTGGCCTTGAGCTCAGTATATAGCTGAGGATGACCTCAAGCTTCTCATCCTCCTGCCTCTACCTCCCAAGGGCTGGGATTAGAACAAATTTTCTAATTCAAACTATTAAATATTAAAATAAAAACAATATTTTTCAACTGTTAGTCCAAAAAGTGTCAGATTTTTTAGTTGAAAGTATTAATTACATACTAAGTTTTTTCTACATGGGGCAGGCACACACACAAAAAAGGCTATTTAACAGAAACTCTTGGCAACAGATACTAGCCATTGAAATATGTAATGCTGTCAGGTGTGGTGGTGCACGCTTTTAATCCCAGCACTCAGAGGCAGAGGCAGGCAGATCTCTGTGAGTTCAAGGCCAGCCTGGTCTACATAGTGAGTTTCAGGACAGCTGGGGCTACAGGGAGACTTGTCTCAAAAAGACAGAAAAAAAAAAAAAAAAAGCATCATGGGGGCTGGAGAGATGGCTTAGTGGTTAAAAATACTGGTTGTTCTTGCAGAAGACCAGGGTTTGAATCCCAGCACCCACATGGCAGCTAACAACTGTCCATAACTCCAGTCCCAGAGGATCCAACAGCCTCTTCTGATCTCTGAGGGCACTGCAAAACATGGGTGCACTTACCTACATGCAGGAAATACACACATATACATAAAATAAAAATAATAAATAAGCCGGACGTGGTGCCACATGCCTGTAGTCCCAGCACTCGGGAGGCAGAGGCAGGCAGATCTCTGTGAGTTCAAGGCCAGCCTGGTCTACAGAGGGAGTTTCAGGACAGCTGGGGCTATAGGGAGACCCTATCTCAAAAAGACCAAAAAAAAAAAAAAAGCAATGGTTCTAAATCACGGGAAAATCTGAAGGAAAAAAAAAGGTAAGGCAGACTTAGGGAAAATGTCTCAAAGGTTGTCTGAAGCAGGCTGTACTCCTAACAAGTTTTTGTAAAATAACCGGTAATATTTTGTTAGTATAATATGACTAAGCATCAGAGAAATTGAATAACTATCTTCTAACTGCAAAAGGCAAGCTACCCTTAGACTAATCTTTAAAGACCAGTTTTACTACAGTTTATGCAGCAATAATGTTGGACTCTGACCTTTGGTGTCCGCCTCAGTTATTTGCTCTTTGGCGACTTCCTCCTCTTCTTCAGCGATCGCCTGGAAGATTGCAGTCAGGAAGAAAAAAAGCAATTCACATAGTGGGCCTTCACTGTCATTTCCTACAAGAGCTTCCTCTAACACTTCTGTGAATAAAATGTTTAAAATGAATTTAAAGTTCTGTCATGACTGAAAAAACAACTCCACTGGAAAACAAACATTTAATCAATAGCTGGTACAACTATTAAGTGTTTACTTATGAAAGTAGATCCTAGTATTATCTAAGCCTAAACAAATTATGATTACAATACAAAAATATCGTAAGTAAAAGTCACTGCATTAAAAAAAGGTCAAAATAGTCTCACTAGACCAATATATTTCATCTAAATTTAAATTTGAGGCACAAATTTAGGTACATTTAAAAACATGTAATTTTAGATGGGCAAGGTGATTCATGCCTATAAACCTAATATTCAGGAGCCATAAATTTGAGACCAGGTTGGTCTACTGGTCTACATAGCTAATTACAGGTCAGCCAGAGCAACATAGCAATATCCTGACTCAAAAAGCAAAATAAGTAAAATAAAACTATATACATATAATATTATACTCCAATAACAAAAAGACTAGTTATTGTTGTCGCACTGTTCTTGAGAGCTATGTTGGAATGTGTGCCAAATGTACATGGGAGAGGATAATTATTCATTATTAGGTTTTTGTTAGTTGGTTTTTTGTTTTATGAGGCAGAGTCTTACTATGTAGCCCTGGCTGGCCTGAAACTCACTATGTAGACCAGGCTAAGCCTTGAATTCAGAAATCTCCCTGCCTCCCTAGTGCTGGGATTAAAGGTGTGTTTGTCACCACTCTACAATTCCTTACTAGGTTTTGATCCTACTAGTGTATCTAAGTATTAAATGTTTCTTACCTAAACCAGCACTGTTCAGATGCTCTTTTATTTTATGTGTATGTATGAGTGCCTTGTGCCTGGAACTAGAGTCGCAGGCAGTTGTGAACCATCTGTTGTAGGTACCATGAATAGAACCTGGTTCCTCTGTAAGAGCAGCAAGTGTTCTTAACTGCTGAGCCATTTCTCCAGGCCTGTTTAGATGCTCTTGATTCATAAGGCATTTGCTTCAGGCCTCATACCTAGCTCATAAGGAAAAACTAAAGCTTTTGAAAGCCTTGCTGGAGAATTTACTCTGATTTGATGAGCAATGCAATTCTGTCTTGGAGAGTCTCTGTGTGGATCTTAAGAAATTCATTTGGCTAAAAATTCAAAATTTCATCCAAATCCCTCCCCAAATTAGAGTCTATTAAAAATGTTTATATGAAGTTTGTAAATACACAGGCAAATCAGAGTTGCAAATTAAAAGTAGATAATATTTTTCTACAAACATGTACATGCCACTCAAAAAGTGGGTCTATTTCTCCACCCCCTTGAGCTCTAGGTGGTCTATAACTGTTCTAATCAGTGTAATGTGTCAGTTCTAAGCCTAGTCTTCTAGAGGGCTGGCAGTTTAAATTTCCTGCCTCCTGGAGCTCTTAGCTGCAGAAGTGGGCGATCACATGAAGAAGACTGAGGCATCAGATATATGCAGGAAAAAGCCATTTTAAATACCTAGGCAGTTAAGCCTTCAGATGACACTAGTTCTAGCCACCCTAGAACTGTAACCATATGGGAACTCTGAAAGAACAGTTAAGTTCAATAACCCCACAGAACTTTGAGAGATCACTTGTTTTTTTGAAGCTACTAAAAGTTAGAGTAAACTATAATATGGCAACAGATAACTTGAGTACTTGCCTAGGGTCACTCCCTCAGGAAACTCATCTTGAAGATCAAAAAGTTCCCCAAATGCATTAAGGAACTCCAAAACCATCAAAGCATCACCAAAGATTTCAGGAGGTAGTCTAGTTTTCACTGGAGTTGGTTCTGGAAGTTCCTGCAAAGTTAAGTAACCTATGTAAATTCTTAAGTATAGGAAATTTAGTATAGCAGAATGAACACATTTTGTACCTAATAAGAACGAATCCATGTGCATTAGTGCCTCTTAACCCTGGATGTTTATCACACTAACTTTGTAACTTATTCCAGTTTTACTAATTACCATCCCTAGGAAGAAACTACAGGGAAGAAAATTACTTTAGGCCGAAGTATATTTCTGACTAAAATTCCCAGATAAAAGGTTCATCCTTCTGACTAGCCCTGTGAATGTTGAGATTATATGCATGTGCTATCAAGTTCAGATTCTGAAGTCAAACTGTGTAATTATTTTCAGATCTTGTGATATAGAGCACAATCTACCATCTATTGATTTAGAAATGAATCTGTATAAGCTGAGGCAGATGAGTTTGGTTTAAATACTTTGATTATTACTTAAACCAAATATTTAAATATTTAAAAATATGGAAAATCCTTATCCTCTTACATAAATAAACTTAATAATAATCACTGTGAAATCTTGTTGTAAAACATTAACAATGCTACCTTGGAATTCTAAGTACAAATGGTCATTTCTTCGCCATAAAATATGAAGAAAATAGGTTTATATTAAGTAACAGAAACATTTCAGCTGGGAGCTCCAGGCTAGCCTGAACTATATGGTGAGACCCTTTCTCACTGGATTGCTCTCCAAAATAAAAAAATAAACCAAGGAAACATTTAATCAGCAAAGCTGCACAAGACAAATTAAACACATCTGTGTCAAACATTACATAGCATGTTCATACCTTAAGGTCATCACATTCCATATCTTCTCTGGGTTTACTCCATTGCTTTAAATATTCCATGTATTTTCGCTTTTCTTCACGTAATTTCTCTCTTTCCTAACGAAGGTTAATAAATTCTTAAGACAAAATTCATTAGGTAAAACCAACATCACAAGGGCTGGGGATGCAGCTCAGATAGTAAAGTACTTGACTAGCATTCACAAAACCCTGAATTTGATCCCAGTACCTGGGAGGTGGAGGCAAGAGCATCCGAGATCAAGGTCACAGTTGTGTACATAGCAAATCTGAGGCCAATAAGGGATATGAGACCCCTATCTCAATGAGAATTTTTAAAAAAGGAAAAAGAAAGGAAATACAAATACTTGGGTTCCTTCATAGGCTTAATGAACCAGAAACACCAGGATTAGGATCCGAAATTGGTATCTTAACCTTTCTGGTAATTTTAATGTACAGGAAAATTTTAGAACTAATGATAAATATTACTATCATAACAATGCTACAGAGCTGGAAAGATGGTTCAACAGTTATAACTAGGGCACTAGATACTCTTGCAGAGAACCCAGGTTCAGTTCCCAGCACCCAAATGTTAGCTAACAACCATCCAGAACTACATTATCTATGGGATCTGATGCCCTTTTCTGGCCTCAGTGGTCATTATACACACAGGTACACTTAACACACATGCAGGCAAAACATTCATACACATTAAAACAAAAAACTAAACCATGAGCCAGAGCCAGGTGTGGTGTGGCACACCTCTTTAATCTCAGCACCTGGGAGGCAGAAGCAGGAGGATCTCTGTGAGAGAGTTCCAGGCCAGCTGGGGCTACAGAGAGACTGCCTCAAGAAAAACAAAACAAAAACAGCTACATTTAGTTTTGGAGGTTTTTTTTTTAAGTTTTGGAATTAATAACTGTCTGTAACTGTAAATGCATTTGTGTTGTGCAAGGACTGCAGAGGTGAGAAAACAGTGTGAGATCCTGTGGAACTGGAGTTATAGACAGTTATTAACTGCCATATGGGTGCTCTTAACCTCTGTACCATCTTTCCAGTCCCACTCAGTTTCTCTTCAGAGCGCTTACCCAGCAAATCATGTTTCTATACCATACCCAGCCCCTGAGAAGGTTTATTTTAAATACTTCAATATTTGTCAATATCTAATTGACTTGAAATAAGTGGTGGTGATATAATCAGTCATATTAAGTTAAAAATCATTTTAATTTTAAAATTAAAAATTTTAGTCCAGAAGAGGGTGTCTGATCCCCTGGAAGTGGAGTCAGGGTTAGCTGCCATGTGGGTGCTGAGAACTGAACCTGGGTCCTCTGCAAAAACAGCCCATGCTCTTAATTGCTGAGCCATCTCTCCAGCCTTCTTTTTCTTTTTTTTTTTTTTTTTTTTTTTTTTTTTTTTGTCAAGGTCTTCCTGTAGCCCCAGCTGGCCTGAAACTCACTATGTTGGTCACACTGGCCTCAAGCTCACAGACATCCACCTGCTTCTGCCTCCCCAGTGCTGGGATTAAAGGCATGGGCCACCATGCCCAGCTTGCCCACATATTTTTAATTCTCAAAAATTTTATTATTTATTGACTTATTTGTGAATGTATATAGCAGTCAGAGGACAACCTGAAGAAGTTCTCTCTCGGTCCACCATGTGGGTCTTGGGAACTAAACTCAGGTCATCAGGCTTGGCGGCAAACTTGCACTGAATCATCTCCCTAACTCAATTTTTATTTTTGTTTTTTTCCCAGGCAATGTCTCATGCTATAGTCCAGGCTATTCTGGAACTTACTATGTAACTCAGGCTGGCCTCAAACTCATGGTAATACTCCTGCCTTAGCCTTTCAAGTGTTAGAATGACAGGCCTGAGCCCCCAGGCCTAGCTCTTGAAGTGTTCATTCTAGCTGGGCCTGGTTATTCATGCCTGTAATCCTAGCACCCAGGAAAAGAAGGCAGAAGTTCAAGGCCAGTCATGGTTATATGGAGAGTTCAAGGCCAGCAGGGTTACACGAGATCCTGTCTCAAAACTTAATTTTTGCAGGGATGTGGTGGTTTGAGCTATAATTCCACTTTGTTCCCCTAGCTGATCTGAAACTCACTTCCCAGAAACCATTTGGTCTTGAACTTGTACTAATCCTCCTGCTTTTGTATCTCAAGTGCTAGTATTACATGTGTGTATACCATGCCTGGCCCTGAAATTACAGGCGTCAATTTTCTCCTTCTACCATATGGATTCCAGAGACCCAATTCAGGTTGTCAGCCTTGGCGGCAAGCACCTGCTGAGCTATTTCAGAAGCCCAGTCTTTGAAATAATTCAAGAAATTACACAGAATTTAAATGAGTACACCGTGTAATGTGATCCTCTAAGGTAACTATGAAAATCCTATAAAGACTATAAAAGTTTGACTTGAAGAGAAGCATTTACAGTGTCCTCCAAGATTTGAAGACCAGAAGACTAGAACTATAGATTTGCCAAAACACATGATTCCAATTTATTTTCCAAAAAGATTAAGAATTTGTGATAGCTTCTTGTTCATAAAACTTAGAAATTTAACTAAAATTTAGAAAAAAAAATCCTATTTTTCTAACTATGTATTTCACTTGAGTTTTTTTCTTCTTTTCCTCTTATTATGTAGGTCAGACTGGCCTACAACTCACGATCCTCCTACCTCTGTCTTCCAAGTGCCAGGGTTACACATTTGCTGAGATTATATAGGCCTGGCTTGAAAGTTTTACGTGTATCATTTTACTTTAATTTGGAATTCTGAAAAAAAAGAATCATCTGGACTTGCATTTTAAAATTTAAGTATAAATATACAGAAGTATGTTGAACCTTAAACTAATCATTAAATTATCTGAAGTGGGAGGGAGATAAACCAATTTTTAAAAATCATTGTTTTATGCAAACTGACTCAAATACAAATGAAGGATAAGAGCATTTAATCAAAAAAATTGGTCATGCAGTTAAATATGTAAATTGATATATGTAGGAATTATAGCTTATACGCCAATGAATACCTTCTCTCTTTCTATTTTAAGTCTCTCCTTTTCTTCTTTTTTCTTTAGTCTCTCTTCTTCCACAATTTTCTTCAATTCTTCCCTCTTTTTCTCTTTATCTTCCTTTTCTTTTTTCTTTGCTTCCAGAGCATCTGCTTTTTCTCGTTTTAGTTTAGCCTTTTCAAAAGCTGTGGAGAATGTCAAATTTAAAGCAGTATATAGACAAAAACATTTAGCTTTTTATATAAAAAAAAGAGGATCTAAAATAATTTAGGGTTACATGAGATTAGTGGAGACTCACAAAATTCCTGAAGTGGAGTTGGCAGGTGAGTGATTAAAGAATAAACTATAGTGTAGGATGAATATGTCCTGCGGCTTGAATGCCAAGACAGTGGAACAGGTGTGAAAAACAGCAAGGAAGGTGATCCGCTTGTTAAAGACATCCAGTCTCAACCTCTCCCCATCCAAACAGAGTAAATAGGAACCCTCATTTTAGTAAGATTCATATGCATATTCAAGCTTGGGAAGTAGTGTTTCAAAAGGTTATGAAAATCAAACACAAAGGTCTCAGTCTTTAAACTCTGAAATAGGAGATATGCTGTGTCTTGAAGGCAGGTCCCATTAAAAAAAAAGTTATCTCAAGAAAAAACATTGACAGCTCAAAAACTAAAAACAAATAGACTATATATATATACACACACACACATATGAAATAGTCTTCCCTCAAGCCCTGAGAAACTTTCTTTCATTAAATAGTGTTTGCAGGGAATGCTAAAACTCACCTAGTGCTTTTATTTCTTCTTGTTTCAAAAGTTTGTTTCTTTCTTTAGTAGCTTTGTTCCTATATCCTGCAATAGTCCGTTTATTAGCAATGTTGTCTTCCTAAAAAATAAACCAAGAAACTAAAGTGATAAACCACAAACTATGCAAATTGATGGTTTGAAAGGTTCTTCTAGTAAGAAAAAAATAAAATAAAATAGTAACAAAAGCCTACATCAGGACTGCAGGGGTAGCTCAGTGGTAGAGTACCTGCCTGCATGTGCAAAGCCCTGGGTTCAATTGCCAGCACTGCAATCAACAACAAAACCCACACCAATTGCACCTTTTTTATACTAAAAGAACTTCTGATTCTAAAGTATGAATATGTAATAATGCTAATCATAGTAATACGTAAAGCACGAGTTAATCTCATAGTTCTATAAATTAGAACATCTCACACAAAAAGAATGGGTAATATATGGAAAGCCTTAAAAATATGCATTGGAGCCTGACATGGTGGCCCACATCTTGAATCCCAACACTTGGAGACAAGAGGCAGGCCCATCTCTGTGAGATGGAGGCCAGTCTACTCTCCATAGCAAGTTCCAGGCTAGCTGAGGCTATACGGCGTCCCTGTCTAAACAACAACAAAAAACAAATTAAAAAAGCCTCCCCTCAAAAAGATTTTTAAAAATATCCATTAGAAAAATATCAAAAAATCCTCACGTTAGGTAGAAACTAGACAAAATGGATATCAAATTTTGGGACCAGGCACGGTGGTCCATACCTTTAATTCCAGCACCCAGGAGGCAGAGGCAGGACGATTTCTGAGTTTGAGGCCAGCCTGGTCTACACAGCAAGTTCCAGGCCAGCCAGGACTATACACTGAGAGAGACCCTGTCCCAAAAGAAAAGAAACAACAAAACTCAAAACATACACACACACACACACACACACACACACACACACACACAAAACAAAAAGCATCAAATATGAAAGAGTAAAAGACATGTCAGAAACATTTTTGTGGTCAATATTAAACAAATGTTGAATTTTTATTTTTGGTAAGAATGCCTCTAATCTGCTGAACATGGTGGCACATGCCTGTGGTCCCAGCACTTGGGAGGCAGAGGCAGGCAGATCTCTGTATGTTCAAGGCCAGCCTGGTCTACATAGTGAATTCCAGGCCAGCTTGGGTTACAGGGAGATCCTGTTTCAAAAAGACCCCCCCCCTCAAAAAAAGAAGTCTCTAATCTACTTAATGTCATTATTTTTTTAATTGGACTTAAAACTTTTTTCTGACTTATTTTTATTTTACATGTTTTGCCTGTGTGGATGTGACTGAACGACATGCATGCAATTTCGGAAATGGAGCTACTGATGGTTGTTAGCTGCTATGTGGGTGTTGGGAACCAAACCTGGCTCCTCTGCAAGAGCTGACAGTGCTCTTAATCACCGAGCCATCTCTCCAGTCCCCTGGATTTTATATTGAGAGATGATTCTGCTATGTAGCTTTTGGATGGCTTGGAACTCTATGTAGACCAAGCTGGCCTTGTGATCCTCCCGCCTCTGCCTCTTAAGTGCTGGGGTTATAGGCATCCACCACTGTACCTTGCTCTTAAATGAGCATATTATTATAACATATTATAAATGTAATAAAACATATAATTCATTTTAATATTGAATAACTGCCATATATTAGGCATAGTGCTAAATCATGTGATAAACAGGATAGGTAAGCCCCTTCCCTCATAAATAGTTTAGCAGGGAAGTCAGATATTAATAAGTAAAAGTTGAGAAAGCTTATAACAGCCAAATTTAATATTCTAGGTGAACACCTTCCAAATCTCAAAACTGAAAATTCTAAATAGCTGAAAGAGATAATTATAACTGATTTCTGTGAGATCGAAGCCAGCTTGGTCTATCTACATAGTGAGTTCCAGGTGAAATGGGGCTACAGAGAGACCTTGTCTCAAAAACAACTAACCAAACCGATCAACCAAAAAGAAGACAATATAAATAATAAAGTGTTCAGAATAGAGTAGAAATAAAATTATCAATGGTTGGGTAGAAGATAGTAGTGAGACGTATGACCAGGGCTTGGTCAAAAGGAAAGAACACAACATTCTCCATTTGGGTTTTTTTTTTTATAAACTAAGAAATAAAACCTTGGGGCTGGAGAGAAGGCTCAATAATTCAGAGCATTTGCCCCTTTTGCAGAGGACATGGGTACAAACCCAAGCACCCACATGGCAGCTAATAACCATCCATAATTCCAGTTCCAGGGGATCCAACACCCTCTCTGACTTCTGTGATGATATAATTCCCACCTTTATTTATTTATTTTTATTTATTTATTTTTTGAGACACCATCACACTGTAGCCCTTGCTGGCCTGGAACTTGCTATGTAGATCAGGCTGGTCTTGAACTCACCCGCCTGCCTCTGCCTCCCAAGAGCTAGAGCTAAAGGTGTGTGCCATGTCTGGCCATAATAAAATATTTTAAAGAAATAAAATCTTGTCATTATTATTTTTAACAGCCCAAGAGCCTGGAAATGACTTTCAAGATTCTTTAATAAATTCTAATTCATGCTGAATATGTTGAAAACTAGTCTTAAAAGCAGTGGAAGTTTGCTTTTAAGACTAGTTTTCAAATCATCACAGCTTGCAAATCATTACAGCTACCAGCAACCCCTAATCAGCAGAAAAGGACAAATCAGAATGTACGGAATAAGGGTAAGAGAAAATAAAAACAAAAGGAAAGAGAACCAAATGATTACAATAACTCAAATAAGTTCCTTCCAACTCTAACAATTGCATCAATCATTAGTTTGTCTAGTGCTAGAAACTCTCACTATGTCTTTGCTCCCTGTGTTGGGAAATGGTAACAATCTGATGAAGTAAAGTTCTTTACTGTTTAAAGAACAGTAACCTGGGAGGTGAGCACAGTATTAACACATCAACCCATACTGCCCTTCCCTTTCCATTCTAAAGTCCCTTAGGGAAGATTTACCACATTATTTGCTTGTAATTAGGGCACCACATTTTGGTTAAAGTATATTTCAGTATCTACATTAGGCAAATAAATATTTAAGCAAATTGGACATTTTAGAATCATTTGATGTATAGAGAAATTAGAATCTCAAGAACATACATTTTCTGTTGGGGGTTGGAAAGATGTCTCAAAGTTAAAAGCACAGGCTGCTCTTGTAGAGGTCTCAGGTTCAAATCCCAGCACCCACATGGCAGCTAACAACCATCCATAACTCCAGTTCCATGGGATACGATGCCCTCTTCTGACCCCCATGGGGATTGCACAACACAGGTGTACTTAGAGCATGCAGGCAATATACTCATAGGCAATACACTCACACATATAAAATAACAAAAATAAAATAAATAAATAATACGTTTTCTCATTTCCTATTACATCCTCTGCACATTTACAAACCTGCCATGCTACATGCAGTACATATTAACACCCTATAAATTAATCCCTTGTATCCCTTATAATTCTGCTCATGCCTCAAATAAATATTGTCACTACCCTTTTTACCTGTCCTGAGAAATCTTATGTTTGGTCTAGTTCAGGCATTTCTTTTTTTTTTTGAGACGTGGTCTCCTCTGTAGCCCCAGCTGGCCTGGAACTCACTATACAGACCAGGCTGGCCTTGAACTCAGATCCATCTGCCTCTGCTGGGATCAAAGGTGTATACTATCACAACTGGCTACTCTCGGCATTTCTTAAATGCTCCCCATAAGTTCCTCTGGTCAGAATTGCTCCAAATACTTCAATCCTATAGTTTATTTCCTGGATTTTAAAAAAACTTCAGCCGCTGGGTGTGGTGGTACACATAGCTCTTAATCCCAGACTAATCGACATAGTAAGTTTAGGCCAGCTGGGGCTAAAGGAAGACTGTCTCAAAAAAAAAAAAACCAAAAAAATGACAAAAACAAACCCACCCCTTCAGTAACTACCTGAGCTTGCTTCCACTTTAGTATAAAATCTCTGTCTCATAAGAACATGTTTAATTCATACTTGACGCTTCCATAAATCTTAATGCTGAGTAGCTGTCACAGGGTACACACATTTTCTTATGTGACATAATAGGGTTTCTTATACAGGGTGTAGAGATGACAGGAACCAAACATTTCCTTGATTATGAATACCATTTACTGTCAACTAAAAAGTAGTTTTAAACTCTTTACCTACCTGATTAATAGATATTCGTTTGGGAGGTCTTCCTCTTCGTCTGTTAGCAGGACTAAAGATAAACGTGGGTGGATCATCAGGGAAGAAATAAGAAAAATCTTGCTCTGTTATGTTATATGTGGAAAGAGATGAGGCCTTAAAAAAAAAAGGGTATAATAACAACAGCACATTAGCGGACCTTATACAGTCATGTCCAAATATGGCATATGACAAAGCTGTTAGAGACAAAGTAAAAAAAAAAATGAGACTTTCATGTGCCATTGTGTAGTGGAAAACATTTTAGTTGGTTTACCTGATCCTTTCCTACATTCAATAATTTATCAGAAAGATACCAGAAGGAAAACTGCAATTCAAAGTCATCATAAACTGGGTATGCTGGCACATAGCTATAACCCCAGCACTCAGGAAGCTGTGGCAGGAGAATCAGGAGGTCAAGGTCATCCCTGGCTGTATGGCAAGTTTAAAGGCCAGGGTAAGCTACATGAGACCCAGGCTAAAATAGACAAAACACAATCTTACCATAAAATATCAACGTTTCTACAGATTCCTTAATTCTAAAACTATTTCAGTAACCTGATTATTTAGACTCATTTTATTTAAAATTATGTGTTTGTGTATGTGTGTATTTGGGGGCTGGTACCCTTGTAGGGGTGCTCTTATAACTGGTGTCATGAGCTGCTGGGAACCAAACTCAGGTCCGATGCAAGAGCAGTATGCACCTCTTAACTACCAAGCCACCTCTCTGTTCCTTCTGTTTTGTTTTTGACTAATTGTCTAAGTTTTTCTATGTAAATATTTTTTTTCTGAGACAGGGTCTCAATGTAGCCCTGACTGGCTTTGAACTCGCTATTTAAACTAGTCTGGCCTTGAATTCATAAGAGATCTGCCTGCTTCTGCCTCCTGAATGCTGATATTATAGGTGTATACTACCATGCCAGGCTTAAAAATATTCAATTCATACATTTTTTTAAAAAATTCATTTTCTTGTCTTTTTGAGACAGGGTCTCCCTGTAGAAACATCTAGCCTGGAATTTGCTATGTAGACCAGGCTGGCCTCACACTTACAATGATCCACCTGCCTCCCTTCCCAAGTGCTAGGATTAAAGGTGTGTACTATCACGCCTTTTTTTTTTTTTTTTTTTTTTGTCCTTTTGAGACCAGGTTGGGATGCAACTTGCTATACAGATCAGGATGAACTAAATCTTACAAAGTGCTCAGATTAAAGGTGTGTGCCACCATGCCTGGCAACTGTTTTTACTTGGCACACAGTAACTGCACATTTATGGAGTACAGAATAATGTTTCAAGGCCTTAATAAATCTCTGTTTCATTCCATTTAGTTTTTTGAGACAGACTCTTTATGCAGCCCAGACTGATTTCACACCTGCAGTTCTCCTGATGCTGCTCCCAACGGGATTACAGGTATGCACTACCACCCATCAAACAATAAATTTTTCTTAAGCATTTTCCAAATGTTTTTAGAATTGAGTAATGACTTAAATAATTTATGTATCAAAACTTAAAGTTGATCTGGGTAAAAGCAGAAATGCTTACAAATTTCTAGTTTCAAATGAAGAATTAAGTTCAAGTCAATCTCATTCTTACCATAAATTGTATGGTATAGGGTATTTGTCGTATTTAAGAATTTTCTTTTACCGTGTATCTAAAATTTATTTAGAACAATGTTTAGAACATGTTCACCCTAGAGTTCTTATTAATTTGGTTTATGGACAAGTTTATAATTTTTTTTTCTCAAAGAAAAATGCCAATCAAGAAATGTTTCAGGAAAGCAATGGTACAAAAATTTGAACATTAACAAAACAGGAACATTTTTACTGGGCAATTTTCTACATTCTTTTTGATCAGTAAAACACAACTTTTTAGCGCCTAAAATCCAGTGAATTCTCACCATCATAATAAATCAAGAATCCATTAAAATTTTATATTAAAGTAGACTTAAAATAATCATGTACTGGGCTGGAGAGATGGCTCAGCAGTTAACACTGATTGTTCTTGCAAAAGACCCGGGTTCGAATCCCAGCACCCACATGGCAGCTAACAACTGTCCATATCTCCAGTTCCAGGGGATCTGACAGTCTCTTCTGTTCTCCACAGGCATTGCACAACACAGATGCACTTACCTACGTGCAGGCAATACACGCATACACATAAAATAAAAATAGTAAAATATACAAAAAAAAAAGATCATGTACTAGCTTATCTAACTTTGAATACACAAAACTACCTTATGAGTACATGAGTACCCAGGTGGTTTCTTCTCAAATACAGGATGATGATTCCTTATTGAAAATGCCTGGAGCAAGAGTGTTTCAGATTTTTAAAGTTTTTTTTTTTTTTGGTGTCTTTGAGACAAGGTCTCCCTGTAGCCCCAGCTATCCTGGAACTCACTATGTAGACCAGGCTGGCCTTGAACTCACAGAGATCCACACGCCTCTGCCTCCTGAATGCTGGGATTAAAGGCATGCATCACCACGCCCAACTTTTAAAGGTTTGTTCTTGTAGAAGACCCAGGTTTGAATCCCAGCACCCACATGGCGGCTAACAACTGTCCATAACTCTAGTTCCAGGGGATCCGACAGCCTCTTCTGACCTCTGAGGGCACTGCACGACATGGGTGCACTTACCTACACGCAGGCAATACACGCATATACATAAAATAAAAAAAAATATATAAAAAAATTTTTAAAGGTCATTTATATATTTTAAATAACGTTATGTGTCAACCAAAGTTCAATGGTATACAAGTTTCTGTATACAGAAGTCACTTTAGTACTTTAAAAGGTTTAGAGGTTTTAGAGCATTCTGGATCTTTTTTAAAAAATATTTTATTTATTATTTTTATGTGTATGCGTGTATTGCCTGCATGTAGGTACGTGCACCCATGTTGTGCAATACCCAAAGGACAGAAGAGGCTGTCAGATCCCCTGGAACTGGAGTTTCGGACAGTTGTTAGCTGCATGTAGGTGCTGGGATTCGAACCTGGGTCTTCTGCAAGAACAGTCAGTGTTCTTAACTGCTGAACCATCTCTCCAGCCCCTGGATTTTATATTTCAAACATTAAATTTTAATGATGTCCTCTTGCCCATTAGTGTGCTTAAAGCACTCCAATTAATTTGAACGCTTTACTGTATTCACTGCAGGTATTTTTCAGCCAGTGCTTGCCCTTAAGGTCTACTTTTAATCTACATGCTTACATTATCAATTCAACCTCTTTTTGATAATGCTTTTCTGTCATTCCTGTTCAGGACGCATAACATTAGCATTTGCTTTATTTTATTTGATGTATATATGCATGCACACAGATCCACATATTAGAAAGCTACAGCTATCGCATTACACGACTTTACTTTTTTCCAAGCTTTCTACTTGCTCACATCTGTCTTGGTTGGTTGTCATTTAGACATTATATAAATAAAAAAGAGGTAGTAACTGAGTCACCTAACAATACTAAAAATAGTACTTAGGGCTGGAGAGATGACTCAGCAGTTAAGAGCACTGGCTGCTCCTGCAGAGGATTTGGGTTTGATTCCCAGCACCCACTTCGCAGCTAACAACTGTCCATAACTCCAGTTCCAGGGAGTTATGCCACCTCTTCTGATTTCCATGGGCATTGTACGACATGGGTGAACTTACAGACATGCAGGCAATACACTCACACACATAAAATAAAAAAATATATTTTAAAAAATAGTATAGTCCCAGCACTTGGGAGGCAGAGGCAGGTGGAGCTCTGTGAGTTCAAGGCCAGCTTGGTCTACATAGTAAGTTCCAGGCCAGCTGGGGCTACAGGGAGACCCCAACAGAAAACAAGAACAAAAAGATAGTACTTAATTCAACAAAAATACTTTGAAATGGTACTAAAAACTGGCTCCCCAGATAAAATGAGAAATAACATTTTTAAAAATGTTACAACTTTGTAACAATACCCATTTCTTCCCAATAAATAATTTCACTATGCTCTTTACCTTAATTTTAATGACTCCATCTTGTGGTTCACAGTGTTGCTTCAGAAAAAGCTTTAGTTTATCACGAGAAAATAGATGTTTTCTACGGCTGAGGTTGGAGGGGAAGAGGGTAGTATTAGCATATAAGATTACCAAAGCTCCATAATCTCTGTAAATTTAAAACCTGGATTTGAAAGCCTAGAAAAGGATTTACATATTGGAGGATATTTATGTAGAAGTCATTAGAAACTCTACAAAGGCATAATGCCAAAATCTATTACAAAAGCAGCATAAGCATTTGTTGTTTAAGAACAGAGAAATCAGCCCAGTGTAGTGGTTCATGCCTTTAATCCCAGCATTTTGAAATTTTGAAGCAGAGGCAGGCAGGTGGATTTCTGTGAGTTCTAGGACAGCTAGTGAGACCCTGTCTCAAAACAAAAAAACAAGAAAACAAAAAAAAAAACAAAAGAAAAACAAGAGGAGCACTGAAAAATCAAATAAAACTTAAGGAAAATACAATACAGATGGTAAATCAAACTTTAGAAAATTAGATCTCCAGTCTCCAATCATCATCATTAAAATTATTTTAAAAATTAAATAGAAAAATTATTTTTAAAATATTACTTAAAAATTGTAATTATTGTGGCTGGAGAGATGGCTCAGTGGTTAAGAGTACTGGACACTCTTATGCAAGACCCAGATTTGGCTCCCAGCACCCAGATGGCAGCTAACAGCTGTCTATAACTCCAGTTAACAGGGGATCTGACACTATTTTCTGGCCTTTTCCAGCACTGCAATCATGGGTACACTTACATACATATAGGCAAACACTCATATACATAAAGTAAAAATAATTAAAAAAAAAAAAACAAAAATTAAAATTAGTCATTACATAAGCCTTTTGTAGTTAAACCTCATATGGCAGCCAACAAATCAGGGGCTCCAAACTGTTTTTTTGAGACAGGGTCTTTCTGTAGCTTCAGGTGGTGTGGACCAGCCTGGCCTGACCTCAAAGAGATCTGCCTGCCTCTCCCTCCCCAGGGCTGGGATTAAAGGTGAGTGCCAGCACACTTGGCAGCAAACAATGTTTTGTTTTCCTCAAATTCAAAAGCAACAGCAATAGCAATGAATACAACAAACAAAACCAGAAACACTGAGAAAGTACATCCTTTCTGATGTTTTAATTAAATGCAATGTATTACTTTCAAGAAAAATTGAAAGCTTGGGTAAATAAACCATGTGTTTTAAAGCAATGTCTCCTCAAAAATCAATATTCTTTTCATAGATTTTAAAGGTTCTTTGCTTTACTGTTACAACCCAGGACTGCAGAAAATAGTAAAGAAAACCATCAATGAAATGAAGAGGCAGCCTGCAGAATGGAAGAAACTCTTTGCAAGCTACTTGCCTAACTCCTAAGGGATTCATATCCACAATACACAAGGAATTAAAAAAATTAACTGAGCTGAGAAGATGGACAAGTATGCTGACCTGAGTTTGAGACCGAGAACCCACATAAAAACCTGAGTGTGATGGTGTACACTTGTATCCCAATACTGGTAAGGCAGTAACAGGAAGATCCCTGGGGGCTCAAAACCTAAAAATAGAACTACCACTGGATCCAGCTATACAACTCCTAGCTCTATGCTTTAAGGAATCTGAGTCAGCATTCCAAAGGTATCTGTACATTCATGTTGACTGTGGTATTACTTACAATAGCCAAATTATGTAACCAGCTTAGATGCCTAGCAACAGGTGCAATGAATAAGAAAACAGGGTACATATACATGATAAAGTATTACTCAGTAGAATAAACCCATGTCATTTACATGTCAAAATGGATGGAACTGGAGATCAACATATTGAACCAAATAAGCTAAACTCAGAAAGATATATACCACATTTTCTCATCTCTGAGGGATCTAAACTTAAAATATATACATATATAAGTGCATTACATGTGTGTGTATATGTGTGTGTGTGGCATGGAAGCAGAAGGGGGACTATTTGGGAAGAAGGGGACCAGCGGAAAAGGCAAGAGATGATAATGGGATGAACATAACCAAAGTACATGATATACACATATGAAAATGCCACTATGAAACTCACTGCTTCATACAATGAAATCTGCTAATAAAGGGCTTAATTCTTCATTCATAATCCTTTAGCTTAAAGACTATTTGTAGTTAGTTACTAAACTAAACTAGAGGCTCAGGTTCATTGTATTATTCTTCCAGCACATAAATATACACTAATTTTAAAAATAGAATCAATAATTCAAACATTCCGTTTGACCTAAATAAAAACTTCTTTTTAAAAAACTATTTTATTATTTTTATTTTAAGTGTATGAGTGTATTGCCTGCTTGTATGTAAGTGTACCATGTCACACAATGCCCTGGAGGTCAGAAGTGGGCATCAGATCCCCTGGAACTGGAGTTCAGACAGTTATTAGCTGGCATGTGGGTGCTGAGAATTGAACACAGGTCCTACGCAAGAGCAGCCAGTGCTCTTAACCACTGAGCCATCTCTCCAGTCCCAATAAACACTTCTTAATCTAACATCTAACTTAGATTTCTATAAAGCAAATATTGAGTTTTACCTTATTTGTGTTGCTTTAACAATAGCAGACTCGTATATTTCCTTTTTAGTGGGTTGTACCTTGTACTTGAATAATAATGGATCAATTGCATCTTTCTTCTTCCTAAAAAAAAGAAAGGGGCCAATTCAGTCAATAATTTGAAAACATAAGATTCTTGGAAATCTCATTTCTTTGATATATGATAATAGAATTTTTTTTTTTTTTTTTTTTTTTTTGAGAGTCTATGGTAGCCTGACTAGCCTGGAAATCACTCAGACTCACAGATCTGCCTGCCTCTGCCTCCCCAGTGCTGGGATTAAAATTGTGAGTCATCCACCTCCCCTGAAGCTAGTTCTCATAGCTTTGGAGAGCACTATAGAAGTTGCTAAGGGAGAATATCAATCCATGGTCCAACCCCAGCATCAAGGTCTAAAAACCACATCAATGACTGGCACAGCAAATGACATTGGTGCAGTTACTGGCACTTTTATCTTGGGGGTAATCAACAGCTACCTAACTGGACTTAAATAAAGCCTACTCAATGGGAGGAAATTCATGTCTGGTACTGTAAACTTAGCCAAATACGCATAGCTGGAGAGGTCATAGATCTTAGAGAAAACCCCAAGGCTCTCATATCCCTAGGCAAATGTAATTTCTTACTATGTGAAAAATATGAATTCTTAAATTTACAGGTAAGTATCCCAGTCACCACCCATCAAAGTGGCTTCTTTTTCAACAGACAGATTAGTACAGAGTTACACTACTGGTCACGCACAGAGATTTTCTATGAATTGCCCAAATATAAATGGCACATCTAAGATGCAACCTCTGTGTCTAAGACTCATGGAACATAGAACAAGGGATGAAGAGAACACTAACACATCTTTCAATTCTCATCATTGAAGCTCCCTCATGCAACAGAGGGCCAGTAACACAAAAGGCCACAAATGGCCAAAATGCAGAGAATAAGAGTCGGCAGAGTGTGGGTCCTTGGACAGGACTTCTATATTGAGGTCCATCTACCCAGGGCTCAGGGATCATTGTGGGAGAGGGGGGGTAGAAAGATTCTAAGAGCCAAGGGAGAGGTGCACAGCCATATGGAAATGGTCCTACAGGTGCCTGGGACCCTTCTCATACAAATCTGCAGCAATGGTGTCAGTATGTACAAGACCCATGCAAACTCAGACAGATAAAAACCCAGCATAGAACTGTGGAAATGAACAGCAGGCGCCAACCTTAGTTGAAGAATTATTGGCAGCTGATTACTGCTGAGTAAGGAAGAGTTGATCTTCTCAAAGGGAGAGACTCTAGATAGGCTAATTAAACCCAGTGGATGAACTTGCACTGAAGGACATCTGAGGACACTAACTTTACCTACCAGGCCTTAATACAAGTGACAGGATGTACGAACTCCAGTGGGGGGGGGGGCTATGGGAGGGTGCCAAAGGGGAAGGGGGTATAAAGATGATTTTCTGTATGAAATACACAAAAATTCAATTAAAAATTAAAATTAAAAAAAAATTGTTGAGTCATTACATTCCCCTGTAATAGAATCTTAATGGGTTTTATTCTAACTAGGATTTCTTAAGTTAGACAACTCTTCCCCAATGTATTAGCCAAAACGCTACAAAGTATACTTAAAAATATATATATTTATTTTTATTTTACATGTATGAGTGTCTTGCCTGCATGTACATAAGTGCAACCATGTCATGCCATGCCCACAAAAGCCATAAGAGAGCATCATATTCCCTGGAACTAGAGTAATGGACAGTTGTTAGCTGTCATGTGGGTACTGGGAACTGAATGGGGTCCTCTGCAAGAGCAGCCAGTGCTCTTAACCATTGAGCCATGTCTCCAGCCCTGCATAATTTAATTTTAGGTAGGAATTTTAATTATTCATCCAATACATTTTCCTTGGGTGAATAATGAATTAACAAACACTTAGTACTATTTAGGTTAGATGATTTTTTTGAGATAAGGTCTCATATAGCCTACGCTATTACACAGAGCTCATTATACAGCTGGGGATGACCTTGGGCTCACCATATAGATGAGGATAACCATTAACCCCTAATCTTCCTGTGAGTGCTGGATTACAGGCATCTGCCACCATTCCTAATTTATGTAGTGTTCATGACAGAGCTTCAAGCATGCTAAGTAAACACTCCATCAACTGAGCTATATTACTGTTTCAGTTTCTTTTCTATTGCTGTGAAAGAAACACTGACCAAAGCAACTTATAGAAGGAAGAGTTTATTTGAGCTCACAGTTCCAGGGGAATTACAATCTGTCTTGGTGGGGAGGCATGGTAGATAGAGCAGGAGATGAAACTAGGCTCTACATCTTCCAGCTGGCACTGGAAGCAAGACAGCCAACTCGAGATTCGTCAAGGCTTAAGAATTCTCTAAGTCTCCCCCAGTGACATGTTGCCTCCAGGATAGCCACACCTTCTAAGACCTCCCAAAACAGTGCTACCAACTGGGAAAAAAATGTCCAAATACTCGGAGCCTATGGAGGACATTCTCATTCAAACCATCACAATCCCCTATATCCTTATTTTAAAAAAAAAAAAAAAATTGGGGAGGGCGGGCAGAGGAAAAGAAAGGGAGAGTAGGATGTAGTGGCACATTCTGTAATCCTAGCACCTGGAGAGTGCAGGCACGAAAACCAGAAGTTCAATGTCATCTTCTGCTTCCTCCTTCCCTCCCACCCTCCCTCTAGTGTGTGTGTGTCCCATCTCCCTCTCCCTCACACATACACACAGTCTTAGATTTGCTCTTAAACATTCTTCTACAGAGATGCAAGCTGGACCTAGTGGTACATATCTGTAATGCCAGCTAGGCTTGTACACTCAAGGTCTGTCTAGGCTACAGACTGAGTTCAAGGGCAGTTTGGGTAACTTAGTGAGGTCCTGTCTCAAAACAGCAAATAGTATGGAGATAAAGCTCAGTGGTACAATACCTGTCTAGCTCGAATAAGGTTCAATATTCATTGTAACACACACACACACACACACACACACACACACTCACACACAAACAGTTGGCAAACAGGCTACATATTTAATTCCTACTCCCACTGGTTTCTCATCTTTTCTTTCCCTTAAGTGAATATTCATTCATTCCCTCATTAGTTAAAAGTCAGATACTACTTATAATAATAAAGGTCAGTTGTCAGCAAAACCAACATACAATATAGGACAGGTGGTAAATGCTATGAAGTGAACAGAGTACAAGTTGGGAGAACTATTTATATAGGCAGTGATACTTGCTAAATTGACCATATAGGCCTTTCAGAAAGTTGGTATTTAAAGAGATGGGGGGGAGCAACCTGAGAAAAATTTTACAGAAATGAGTTTAAAGAAAGAAAGAAAGAAAGAAATACATTAAGGACCTAAGGTATAAGCATGCATATTTAGCACAAGAAACAGAATCAATCAGAGGCAGTGACAGGGCCAGATTATATAGGCCATCATTAAAGACTCTGAATTTTATTCTATGTAAAACTTTTGGAAGAATTTTTTTAAGGTTTTATTTTTATTTTATGTGTTTGAGTGTTCTCCATGCATGTATGCGTATCTCTTAAATGCTTGGTGCCAGCAGAGGCTAGAAGAGGGTGTCGGATTCCCTGGAACTAGAGTTATAGAAGGTTGTGACCTACCACATGGGTGCTAAGGATCGAATTTGGGTCCTCTGAAAGAGCAGCAAGTGCTCTTAACCACTGAGCTATGTCTCCTGCCCCCAGTTGTTAGAGGGTTTCGATTAGTAACAGACTCAGCAGGAGCACTGCTGTGTGGAGGGCAGACCAAGGTAGGTGGGGGTGGGGAGGGTTGGAGGGTGGAAACAGCACACCAATTAGAATGCTACTGCACACTGATGGATTCAAAGGGAGTAGTGGCAGTAGAGGAGGTTGAATTCTGAAAATACGAAGAGGATGTTATTATACAGAAGATCAAAATAATATAAAAAGATCATAAAGAGAACACTGAAGGTGATGGTTAGACATAAAGTAATGAATACAGTATATACAAGATGGAGGAAGGAGTCAACAGAAATGGGATGGATATTTGTACAAATACAAATGAAGGGCTGGGTGGGGTGGTGCATGCCTTTAATCTCAGCACTGGGGAGGGAGAGGCAGATGGATCTCTGTGAGACTAAGGTCAACCTGGTCTACAAACTGAGTTCCAGGCTAGCTGGGGCTACAGGGGAGACCCTGTCTCAAAAAGACAAAAACAACAACTGAAGAACTTACCTGTAATAACATTAAATTCCAAGATGGAGGGCCAGGTATTTATTTTCAAGTACCTTCACACACTGAGAGCCAGGATAAAAATAAACCAGGAGACTTATTTATTTATATTTGTTTTATTCTATAAGGTCTTTCTACATAAACTAGGCTGACCTGGAACTTGCTATGTAGACTGGGCTGATCTTGGACTTGCCTAATGATAGTTATCAAATGCTAGTTGTAGCTATCTGTAACAGTTCACATCAGACAAAATGAGAATTTGAACTTCAAGGTTCTGAGAGACAATCTGACAGATACTGGTATCAGAAGGTAATAAATTGAGAGAAATAGTTAAAAGTGGCCTCACACTTCTCATTTAAATATGATGGTACTAGCCACTAAAAATAAGGAAGTGAGAAAGTCTCAAGACAGACTGAAGAAAGTTCTGTTTTTTGTTGGTTTTTTTTTGAGACAGGGTCTTGTAGCCCCAGCTGGCCTAGAACTTGCTATGTAGACCAGGCTGGCCTTGATTTCACAGAGATCTGCTTGCCTCTGCCCCCTGAGTACTGGAACTAAAGGTGTATGCCACCATGCCCAGCTTGAGAGAGTACTTTTTAAAATCTGGGATGCCGAAAGCTAAGAGCATGATGGTACCCACGTGTAATCCCAGAATTTAGGTTGAGACAAGAGGATTGCCATAGGTTGGAGGTTGGCAATATCTGTCTTAAGTCAAAAAAGACAAAAGAACAACACCACACCACTCTGATGTGGTGGTAATGTCTATAATCCCAGCACTTAGGAAGCAAAGGCAGGAGCTCAAGGTCCTCTTCAGCTACATAGTAAGTTTGATGCTAGCCTGGGCCACATGAGAACCTGTCTTTAAGAAAAATAGCTCAGGGGTGGTTAAGAGCACTGACTGCTTTTGCAGAGGACCTGGGTTTGATTCCCAACACCCACATGGCGGCTACCAACTGTCCTTAACTCCAGTTCCAGGGGAATCCGACACCGTCTTCTGACCTCTGCTGCACTGCACAACACGGGTGTGCTCACATATATGTAGGCAATACACTCATAAACATAAAAAATAAAAATAATAAATAAAATATTTTTTAAAAAAGAAAAAAGTTCAGATGCCTAGAAAAAGAAGAAAATGAAGAAAAACATTTAGAATAGATGTTATGGAGAAAAAAAGTTTCCAATGCTAAAACATTAAGTAGGTTAGACAGTAGTTAACTAAGTAGTTTCAGTTTTGAAAAGTCTAGCATCTGTTGTTGAACCACTTTATTTAAATAGGTAATTTAACACAGTATGCCTAGAATAGAAAGAAGGGAGGCATGAAGGAAAATTATTTTCATAGATTATCAAGTAAATAAATAAAAATCACTTACCCATGTTGAAAAGAACTGCTTTGTGTTTCTGAATCATCACTATCACTGATGACAATAGGTTCTCCATCAACACTGCTAACATGGCCATTAGAAAAGCCATTTTGATGTAATGGAGGGAGGACTTCCAAAATCCTGCACTGCAGCCTGAAATAAAATTAAAAAAAAAATTTTTTTTTGTCTTTTTGAGACAGGGTCTCCTCGTAGCTGTCCTGGAACTCACTATGTAGACCGGGCTGACCTCGAATTCACAAAGATATGCTTGCCTCTGCCTCCCAAGTGCTGGGAAAGGCGTGCGCCACCACACCCGGTGAAATAAAATAATTTTAAAAGGCAAATCATTTGATATTTTACAACTCAACATTTCAGAACAGTTTGTTATTTCGAATTTAACCTTTATTTCATGTCAGATGAATTATGTGCCTATGTTGTAACAACAAAAAGATCTGTTTTTTGAAGACTATGGCTAACTGAAAAAAACAATTAAAAAGAAAATCTGAGACACCTAACTTAAGTATTAGATACAATTAAAACAATGTAAAAATATTTACAAGTTCAATTGATCCTAGATTCTTTGGCTAGTGATATAACTCAGTTTGGTAAAGTGCGTGTCAGCATACACAAGCTCTGAGTTCAATGCCCAGAACCACAAATAGTAAAAATAATATGGTGGTGCATGCCTGTGATCCTAACAGTTGGAAGGGAAAGGCAGGAGGATCAGGAATTCAAGGCCAGTCTGGGTTACACTGAGATTACGTATCAAACTCTGTTTTCCCTTAAAAAAAAAAAAAAATACAGCAGACCACCAGAGTGCCGGGTTCTGGCTTCCCTCTGGCCTCCAACTACCAGAGGGTCTGAGAACCCAGGGAACAGCCTGACAGCCCCCAGATCTTGCCTCCATGTGGTAGTCCTTTTAATAAGAAGGTGCTATACAGCAGTCCCTTCTGCATAAAATAACTACCATCATCACAACTTTGGCTAAGCCTGCTCACTAAACATAGTCACAATTGGGCTTGCTGATGGTTGTACTTGTCAATCCAGTGACAAGCAGGGTCACTGGACTCTCATCTGAGTATCCAGTCACTCTTCCCAGCCAACTAGTCGAGCCTTGGAAGACAAAAGAAAAATGGAACCCAATAGAGGCATGCTTTTGGAAGCCCTTGTCAAGAAATTCCAGTGGACTCTCATATGAACATTTGAAAACTGCCCTGTTCTGACTTTTTTCTAGTTCCCGGTCTAGAACTTGTAAACATCTCCTATTCATGACTCAAAGACTTTCTTTTCCTCCCT